AATAGAATTATCAAAAATAATATATAGACTATATACGCTATAGACGCTGATAATATAGCTTTCTTATCTAAAGTGAAACAATTTTTAACATCGGTTGAGTAGTTTTTGAGTTTATCCATTAAAACGAACAATTAAATCTTTCTTTGTAATATTAGTATAAACTATATTAACGTACAAATAGATTAAGAATCCTTCATAAATATTGCTAAGATTTGCATTATAAAACAACAGATAAAGGTTAGAATGATTTGGCCAAAAAAAATTGCAAGCCATCAATTCAAGTAACCCCAATGTTGATAACAATAGTTATCAGTGACCTTTTAAACTATTTTAATTTGCTTCACAATAACAACTTTCTTGTCAATTAAAGTTCTTATAAACAAACTGATAAATATGATCACCTCATTTTCTTCAAGTGTAAACATGAACCAATTGTTGACTTTTATATACTTACTTTAACTTACTTTATACTTACTTACGTATAATAACTTTAATTATAACTTTCATGTTATCAGAAAGTGTTCTTAGTATAGTTATCATGTAAATGAAAAGTAAAATTCCAAATAACATTAGGGCATATGTATACAGATGTATTATCTATTTATATATCTGTATATGTTCTTTATATTTTTATTCTTATATCGTTCTGTATATGAGCATTGAATTAATAAATGAACAAAAACTCTTTGTACCTCTTAAAGTGTTGTTAATTTCAAACACCGTCATATCAGCATTTAACTGTCCACTGCGGAACATAAGCCTCCCCTTTAGGGTGTTTTGCCAGTACTTGCCACGCTTGGTGGGCGGGTTGGCAACCGCATTTAGGCTTTAGAGATGTTTTAAGAGAGAGGCTACTGCCCTTCCCTCGCCCTCTGTTAGTCGATTCTTACAACACCCACTAAAAAGGAAAGGATAGCTTATTCTATGCCGAGAACACAATTATTTCAAATATAGATATAATGTAAATTTTGTAAATACTAATTATTATTGCTTCTGTTTTGAATTACTGCTGTCTACTACTTCCTATGCTACTGTGTTAGGTGGACTGGAAGAATTCTCTTTTAAAGATAAATTCACCTTTGCTCACATTGTTTCTAATTGTTAATATTAGTGTATGTTTTAGTGTTATAAAGAATATTTAAAAACAATTGCACTTTCAAACAATATACAGACAAAAAAAATAACGTTACAAAAAGCAAAACAAAGAGGTAACAATGGGCTTGTTTGACCCATTTAATATAACGCCAATATGGAAATAAATCCTACCATTTGTAAAAAGAATTATCAATATTGAGAAATAGGATAGTTTTATCAAACCAGCCAACTGTGAGTTGAACTCATTCGCCGAGCGTTCCATACATAAAATGTTTTTAAAAAAGCTTTTCTTTTTTTGATTATTGTATGCTCGCCGTTATTTCAAAAACATACCGAAACACCAATGGTAGTAAAACAACTGTAAAATGAATGTGTTAAATTTTAAAAGGTCACAATCACCGTAATATAAAAAAAATGATAAGAAAAGTTTTTTGAAGCATTGTACTAGGATCACTTTTTTAAACATTCATTCAGAGAGTAAAAACATTTGTGAATTAGCCACTTATGTAGTCTTTTCTTTTTGATTAATTTTTGGAAAGTTCTACAATTTTGGTTCAAAATTTGGATTACCATGTGATAAATGTTTTGTCTTTTTACTTGGCTATACCCTAACGGCTCAATAAATAGTCATGAAACTTGATACACAAATTCTATTTGGGATAGAGAAGGACATAGTTTTTTTTTTTTTTTTATCGCATTCAATAAATATATCTCAGTCACGCGGACGAAGTCACGTTTAAAAACTAGTCACTAATATTCCGTGTTTATCTCTATAGCCAACATTTATCACTTCCATCAGGTGGGCCGTCAACTTGTTTGTCATTCCAAGTACGAATAGTATAAAAATAACTGATCGACGACAGTTATATATGTATTATGAAAACTGTAAATATATACCTGCTCACTACTGTTTACCACTTGTAACTGCACAATTTTATTTGCTATAATCTGCGATTTAATCTGGGTGAATTAGAATAAAAAGCAGCCTGTATCTATAATTTAGTTTATATTATATTCATTTAAATCGTTCAGCAGATTGATCATGACTAACAAACATCCAAATGTATAAACATCCAATCATCTTTTCACAAACTTACACATTTTTTTTATTACGTTTTCGATTTATATATTATGAACACATAGAGAGTTAGAGTGTTGAGAGGAACATTAGGTGTCTGGGAATCAGACCAGCTCCCCGATACACTGGCTTACTGTGTAGAAATGGATCACCCGTATATTTATAATGTATTGAATTTCTAGTGATATTGTATGTAAATCCATTTATTTAGATTTTTTTTAAACAATTCAAACCTAGCACCACTATCGACTTTAAACTCGTGATTTTGATCTAGGGGCGCCACTCTCAATTTCGAATTACCATTAGCAATATCCAACAGCGTTCTGTTCTGTCTACTAAAATGTAGGTATAAACGAGGTTCCGTTTTTAATGCAATAAGTTATTTTTTAAACACTTTTGAATAGAAAATAAACTAACGGTTCTCCTAATGTAAAGTGGTAATGATTGTCTATAGATATGAACAACACTATGAACACAGCGCGTGTGGTCCCGGCATAGAATGGGACATTATTTTCATTCCCTTGGGTATCATAAGAGCCTATCCTATAGGTTGTACAGCGGTTGCCAACTCGCCTGCCAAGTATAATAACTACTGCCAAACCCTTCCTTATGGGAGAGGCCTATGTACAACAAAAAACTATTAACGGCTGATAAAATAATAATAATGGGCACAGTAAAATATATTCTTCATGCCAATAATATGGACTCAAGCATTGTTATTCCGTTCAAGGTGTTATGCCTTCCTACACTTCAGACTGAAAAATAGCCATAAAACATAACAACAAAATATCTCTGATATTTCTCATGATATCTAAATAAAATTGTTTATTCCACGCAAACCAATTCGTAGATTCTATCTAGTTAGAAATGAAATATAGAAAAGAATCGATTCCATTATAATATGAACAAACATGCTACCATTTGTTTGTAATTAACAATCAACAAAACAGCTGTCACCTCTAGACCTTCGAACTAGGTGGTCGGTTACTAACCTCGAAACTTTATCTTTCAAGGTTAAATAAATAATTGGTAAAATAAATATAATTTATTTATCCAAACTAAATAGGCAAATACGCTAGCAGCCTTTCTGATGGAAAGAGGTAACCGTTGCGATATCGCATGGTAGACATGAATAGCAATGTGGACAGCAATTATATAATACTCTATTAAGACTGAAGACGCCCATATACCGATATTGTCATTTCTTAATTTTTTTTTTATTGTTTGGGAAGCGAAGAAAAACGAGCAGACGGTCCACCTGATGGAAAGCGGCTACCGTCGCCAATGAACACTTGCAACAAGTGAGGAGTTGCTTGTGCGTTGCTGGCCTTTTAAAATTCATCTTCGTCTACAATAATTTTATCAATATTTTCAATGTCACCAACACCACACCACACATATATACCAACAATAATTTACTAGCGATCCGCACCAACTTCGCACGGGTATCTGATCGGCATCTATTTAGACAGAAAGATAAATTGGTATTTTATATTAGTGTTAATAAGTAATTTTTTTTATATTTTGATTGACATTATTGTAATTTTTGAAGGCATCTCTATTTTTAATTTTTTTTTTTTATAAATAATACATGCCTATTTTACTAGTTGATAAAGTAGCTTTGTATAAGTAGAAGAATTTTTAAAATCAGTTGTGTAGTTTTAATGTTTATTTATTAGAATTCAAACAAATATAAAAAATATCAAATCTCTGTACAGATAAAAAGTTGAAATTGTTTAATTTAAATTTAACACACAGACTGCACATAATTGATGTATCTAAACATTTACACCTAATTGTATCTTTGGACCAGCACGTATGAATAAAACAAGTTGCGAAACGTGGATGATGTAAGAAATGTACACATTCAATTAAGTAAAAAGGTAAATAATAAAATTTTTTGTCTATCATGGAATTAGTATGAGGATGAATGGGCAAAGTCATAAACAAAAGCTAGTATGTAGCGAGTTGTAAAAGTAACTTGACCAATAGAAACAATAACAACCAATTTGCTTCTATGCTTCTCCTTTATTTACATTCGGCTATATTACTAATTGATAAGTAAACTATATTGATTGCAAAAAGATTTAATTGGCAAAGATATCACGTAACAACTAAACAAAAAAGTACAGGCAAACTGAAAACCTCATGCTTTTAGAATTCAGTTAAAGGTACTCCTACGCATACACCTTTTATATTATATCTATTATTAAAACTTAGCCCTGCTTAAAATAAAAAAAAATTGGCAAACAATTTTAATCTATTAAAAATATTTAGGCCACATCCCAAATTTTATTTGAAAATTGTATTAAGGACAAAATACTAGGGCAAAGACTTTGAGATGTACTTAATGGAGATCTTCATTAATATATAATTCCTACAATTTTGTTACATTTGCAGATTTCGATAATTTTTTTTAATAAAATATAGGGAATAGTAAACCTTAGGAAAGTAGTAACCGTTACCTATAGACGTGAGAACTACCGTAAACATCACACAATATATACTCCCATGAAACCCCTCCTGATATACTTTTCTTCAAGACTAAGGTATTGTATTTTGGTACCTTATAGTTTTACTGTCAATTCTATCATATCTCTGGTGTAATACTGATATAATCCTATATAAAGTCATAATATATTATACTCTATTATTCACTCTGTAGACATAATATATATTAAACCATTCTTAAATAATTAGGTATTACTGTCAATAAAGAGTATACTGACCTAAAAAAACCTATGTTATATTAATGTCATACACGCTCAGAACATTCAACTACATTTATCAAATCATTTAGACAAATAGTCTTTGAACTATACAAACTTAACCATATATAATGATTTATTTCAATCAATTCTTCAGTGTTACTGGCAAAATGAGGGAGGTAACTTTAGTTCTATTAGTGTTTTCTATAGCTGGAATCTCAGGATTCTTAATAAAAATTCCGACAAAATCAATACAACCTAAACACGGTAAATATTAGCTTCGGTTAACTTTAACATTGTTTGTAATCATATTAAAATTGTCATCTTCATTCTGATAATCCATCCACAGCTGAAGAGGAGATATTATCCTTCAATTACCACACTAGTCAATATAAAGTTTTATTTTTAATTTTCCTCATTTTACACTAATGTATTGTACTTTATCTCCTAGCTGTGACATCCAAACGATGAAAATAATTCTAATTTTCTACTATAACGTCTTACTTCACAATCTCATAAAAATATTCATGTATCATTCAATGTAAACAAATAATATTTATTTTAATTTATTGAATAATTACTAGTTCTATCAACAATATATGTAGTTTATCCATCACAAAAAGTGCTTCTGCATGTTGTATTCTAGGTATGTCTATTTTTCTGACTTTCTATTGAAAATAACAAAAAAAAAATTAAGTTTATAATATTAGTCAGTACATAATTATTATATTACATAATATTCTGTTGTATAAAATTTTGCTAATTAACGCATATAATGTCAGCGTAGAATGAATTAATTTAGCAATTAATTTATGGATTTTATAATTTACATTCAATTAAACATAAAAAGAATACATATCATGCGACTTGAACATGAAACATGGTATTTATATGATTAATAATGTAATAAGGATTCCAAACTTATTTTAAATTATAAATAAAATTACAACTATTGTATTACTGTAGTTAGTAAATGATTGTTTTCTTCAGATGTCTCAGGATATATCCACATACAAAAGTTGATGTTACTCTTATTTGATAATATTTGTGAAGAAAGTAGTGATCCTATTATTATGAGATTTGCACAAGAATTCACACTGGATAAACCTGAAGACTATACGGTATGATAAATTTCTACAAGGAATTAAATATGCATATTTTCTTTTTTATGAAAAATCTAAAAGCATTTTTTTTTATTCCACAATAGTAAATTGCTTTTTTTCTATTTTAATTTCAGGATTCCAATGTCATCGCAGACTTGCAGAATCTTCAATCAGGAAATGGACTTTTATCCAAAAATGAAATATTTTCCGAATACAATATTGAACATCGAAATGAACTTAAAATAATTTATGCTGTAATGCTACATGCGAAAAATTTTGATACGTTTTTTAAAACTGCAGCGTGGGCTCGTCAAAATACGAATTGCGGATTATTCATTGATGCTATATATTTAACAATTTTTACAAGACATGATTTATCGAATCTTTCAATAACTGCTCCTTACGAATTGTTGCCAAATTATTTCATTCGTAAAGATATCATTATCAAAGCATCGTCATTACTGACAGATGAAGATTTTACACTAACTGAAGACGTAAAAGATGAAGGAAATGCATATATTTTGGACGCTAATTATACTGCTGACATAAACGACGATGAAGATTCTAAGTTAGCATATTTTCGTGAAGATATAGCTTTAAATTCTTTTTATTTCTTTGATAAACTTAATACTATGTTTTTGTTTAAATCAAATGAAGATAACACATATGGAGACTATATGTATCAATCGATGAAACAATTAGTTGCTAGATATGACTTAGAAAGATATGCTAACGGGTTACCAGAATTAGAAAGTCTTAATTGGAATTCTGCCGTTGATACATACGATCCTATGTTAATTTATTCAACTGGAGATGATTTTGCCCATAGAACAATACCTATTGATTTACCATCAGTAAGTGAAGGTATAGAGTTTCTACAAAATATTGAGGCTAATATAAAAAATGTAGTTACACATTTGGTAAGTATCTAATTAAAACATTTAAAATGAAATAACACTCGCGTTAGGTTAGTAATAACATACCTAGACTATGATTTCGTACATATTTATAATTGAGACTGCCTTTAACCAGGATCCACAGTAGAAACTATATTCGAACAATAAGCAATAAAAGCGATAAAAATATAATGATCATAATAATGTATGCAATATTTCTACATCTTTATAGAAAACAATTTGCTACAATAAAATTTGTCAGAAGAGCAAGTCATTACTGAAAAGCAAGTCATTAAAAAAAAACAAACCTAATCCAACCTATTATAGTGGTTACATAGTTTTTTTTTTATATTTAAATACATATAAGAGTGAAAATATAGATTTCATTTCATTTACAGAAACAAACTGGATATAACAAAACTCAAATAATAAACCATTTGATGGAAATATTTGTTATTGGAGAGAAAAGCTACGAAACTTTAGCAAGACAGCGCTTAGGATACGATGTAACAAATAATATCAGGTATGAAATACTAAGTTATTAAAAACATATCATATCATATATAATAACGAATAGTATTTTTTAATTAATAATGTTTATATTCCAATGTTATTTTCAGACAATATTCTGTATTAGACCATTTTCTTTCATCGCTACGAGACCCTGTATTCTGGAAACTAAATAAAAAAATAGTAGAGCTGATTGACAGCTCATTGAAAGTATTCCCAAGTTATTCAAGAAATGAAGTATACTTTCCTGGTGTTGAAATTTTAAATATAGAAACGAAGAAAATGATAACTCTATTTGATGACTATCAATTTGATGTTACTGATTCCTTAAAATCCAAAACTAACAATAAAACTTTCCAAGTAAAGATAAATCAACAAAGATTAAACCACAAACCATTCGTCATTAAACTTAATATCTCCTCTCTTGAGGCACAAAAAGGATTAGTTAAAATATATTTGGGTCCTAAAATGTTACCAGGTGAATTTATTATAAATAAAAATAGATTTGTATTACTTGATTGTTATGATGTAAATCTCAAAAAAGGAATTAACTTGCTTTCACGATCATCAAAAGAAATAAAAAGTTTTTCCGGTGACTTTGTATCTATTCGTTTCTTACGTAAGAGTATAGAAGACGCTGAATTTGGTTTAGATGCATTACCGATGAAAGCTGTTGGTTTACAAATTGGCTATCCAGATCGTTTAATCTTACCTAAAGGTTCATCCAATGGACTTCCAACACAAATATTCGCATTCATCGCTCCATTAACAAAAGTTACTTCTAGTAGTTCATCTTCTTATACTATCAATAACGAATTTAATACTGCTATACTGTCTCCTGGATATCCATTTGATTTAGCTACTGATGATTACCAATTGTTTAGTCTTCCAAATGCAATGACTAAAGAAATTATTATATCTCATAAAGGAAGTAATGAAAACTATGATAGTATTAATGGTAATAAGAAGTGGGATAATAACAAATATTCTAATTATTATTCCAAAAAGGACTTGGAAGACAGAGAATATAAAGAAAAATCAAAATATGAATATGATGATGTGAATAAGCTTGATAACATCGAATCAAATACTCATAGTATGTTAAAATTACAACCTGACTTTACAAAAAGGAAGCAACCACAAAGTACTGACTATAGTTCGAAAAGAGATCAATATGGACAAAGAATAGATTATTCGTATAGCAGAGACAAATTTAACCCCGAAAATAAAGGTATAAGCATGAAAAATAATCAATCAATCTACAACAAAAAAAATATTTTTGATTACAGATCTAAAAAAAATTTGTATGATAAAGATGTTCGTTTTCCAAAAACATACACTAACTATGAAAGTAATGAAAATGAAGAAAATAAATCTATCTCCGAAACAACTGCTAAAAATATTCCTACAATAGTATTAAACAAGGATATTATTGAAGACATAACAGACAATAAAGATGTTATATTGGAAGATAAGGATATTACGAGCACAAATTCTAAAGGAATTAAAGATGACATTACAAGTAAAGATTCCTTAACTCACATTGAAGAATCTCCACAAAATAGTGTTTGGAAATTTTTTTATTATATATTGCATTCTTTTGATTTTATACACCCTGAAAAAATTTATGAATAAATTTGATTATATTAAATTAGATATTAATAACATATTAATATTAACTAAGTATATTAAAATCAATACATAAATTATATGCAGTTTCATTTAAAGCTATCTATTTATTACATTAATATAATTATACAAATTATACATATATAATATACGAATGATCTCTTTAGAAATTATTTTAGTCCAAGTAGATAAATATGTAGTGCAAATAGATTCTATAAAAATAGTAATAACAAATTAAATTTTATTATTATATTATAAGTACGTCAAAATTGTCCTGTTATTTATTAAATAATGTAATTCAATATTTGTGTAATATAAAGGAAAGCCTTACATCTCTCGCTATGTAAAACAAAAACTTCTTACAGGCTGCCACGAATCACTGAATGCAGATTTGTTTCGTATTGGCATTAATTAAAAGAGCAATTTGATTTTATTGTTGTTTATCGTGTAATTAGCCAATCTTTACAAATAAATCATGGGAAAACTATCACCAGAAAATTTTTTTATTATTGGTATGGTTCCTAATACATATTAGAAAATAATGCTTTTATAAGTAGTTTCTTTTTTTACTTCAAACATTGATTGATTATATCTAATATGAACTTAAACTAAATGATCACATAACAGTAAAACAATAAATTATTAATTCTCTTTTATTATATTATTAAATCATATTAAAATAAAGTATTAATTTTATGATAGGAGATCACGTTATATCAACACGAGAAGGTCATGTGGCAATATTTAATAAATATTCATCTCAGTTTCCAATTTATGTAAAATTGTGTGAATAAGCAAAATGTGAATATTACTCTTTCAAGCGGTTTCTCATCATCATTATTTTTGGATATGTTCCAAATATTTTACAACGACGTTACGCTTTCCCTATTTTCATCGCAGAAAATTTAAAAACCATCGGTCACTAGTGTGACAACGGCTAGAATATGAATACAAATATTTTTACAGTTGATTACAAGGTTTCCACAAAGTAGGTGTTCAGACAATATCCATATATATCATAATAACAGGTAAAAAGTAAAAATTTTAATAAAACTACCTAAAAATATTTTTTTTTTTCCTATTCATAAATACATGCGATATGTGTGTTTGATGTGGGTTGTATTCACATAAATAAACTTTATTACTAATCGTAAAGACAGACAACGTACACGAGTCATTAAACAAACAGACACGTAAATTTTAAGAATTATATTTCATATGGCAACAAGAATTGAGAATATAATAAATACATCGATCCTAAGACCGAATAACATCACAAAATAGTGAATATCGAAAGCGTGACAGTAACGTTCCCCTAAACAAATTAGAAAGAACAAAACAGCGCATGTCGACGGTTCATTCTATCTCATAGGCCCGCTAGAGCTAATAATTTTGTTAATAAATCCATTTGTAATTCATCTAAAGGAGTTGGCCAAATAGCAAAGCGACAAAATGGCAAGCGATTCCATCAATAGAAACATTTTAAGTCGAAATAACAAGACATCGGACATCCCTATCTCATTAATATCTAGAGGTAACCGTTTATGGATTCTGAAGTTCGAGAAAATATTTAGTTAGTCAAATCTTGATTATATTACTTCGTTATAATAATTTTAGCAAAGACGAACCTGGTATGGATAAACTCAACTAATTTTTGCACAACCTCAAAATGCACATAATGGTTATTTGCATTTTGACAATTTCATTGCATTTTCAAAATGTAGATAATTGATGATTTATTTTGAAAATGTTCCTGTATTTTACACTATAAATTATTATCAGATAAAAATAAAAAAAAAAAACTATAAAATAATTATAGATATATTTAATCTTTGAGATACGTAAAGCCTATTAAGCTCATATATTTAAAAATACTATACCACTGGCATGTATATTCCTGTAAATTTTGCAAGAGAAACTGCACTGTGCCAAAATGAAGATGTATTTCCACTGAATAGACACCGATATTGTGAGCTATCCAAACTTGCTTTTGGCTGTGATGGCCAATTATTTCGATCCAGGTATTTTAACTCAATAAATTGTGGAGCGTCGGCAACGCATTGACGAATAAATTTAATCAAGCCCACTACATAGTTTCGTAGCACCAAATATTTCATGCAATTAAAGCACGCTACTAGTTTTATTTCAGACAAATTACTGTATGATTCATTGCTAAATCTATGTGTTGCTTTTAAGCTGTTGATATTAAAAGATACATTAGAAACATTTAATCGCTGACACATAATGAACCTCAAATATGCTACATAAAGTGTAATTTACCTTAACAGAAGTACCTTACCTGCTAATATTATAAATGTAAAACTTTATAAAGATGTTTAGATAATTTGTTACTCCAATGTTTCATCGGATTTGGAATAAATTTAGAGTAGAGATAAATCATATTATTATAAATTAACCCATAGGGTACTTTTTATCCTATTTCACGTGGGCAAATATATGGTACGTATCATTAAATAAAGTAATTAATGAAAATATACTGAACTGTAAAAAAGATTAATTTGTACAATTAAATACAGTATAAAATATTTTTTTTTCTAAAGCATAAATTTATATATTCTTTTCTAAACAATGTAAGAAATGTTATATAAATAAAACTGTGTAATAATCTTTTCCATGATATATTTCATTTATCCTATAATCTTGACTCCTTTAAATACAGCATGAAAAGGTACTTAATAAAGTGAAGCTAACAGTTGATGGAAAAAAGTTCTCTTATCCATAGTTCGCATACATGAACCATATTGTTATATATTCGTATTTTACCGAACTAGATGTTATTTTGCGGAAGCCCATATCACTGGTTATTCACAGTTTGAGCTCCAAACAGTTAACATTAGGCTTCAAGCAGCGATATAATAATTTGCCTGAAGACGCCTCGTCTTGAGTGAAAAATGAGAAACACGTGCATGAAAGAAGTGGCTGTTGAAAATGGATGCCTATTTGGAAGGTTGTAGAACTTCTGATAGTAATAGTAGTGGTCAGTGTTAGCAAACACACACAGAATAATGGTAGCGAAATTCAATTAAATAATTCTAATCAAATACCCAATACAGTCATATGTCGAGCTGTAATAAAACAATATCAATTAGTAAATAACTATGCTTCCAATTATAATTCTTAATGGGAAAGTCAAAGGCATTTGTCGACTGTTGCCGTTGTAGTATTGTGCCAATCCTCATGCCAATATTTCGCCGAACACATTAGTTCTAACATGGTTAGAGCGCGAATTAAATGTAAAAATAATAAAATTAAAATGTATATATATGTATACACTCACGACTATACCTGTCCTTACAGGGAATATCATAAACAAATAATATAATACTATTGCCATTATAATCAGCATAGTCTTATTAGGTAATTTTACAAGGAATTTCTTTTTTAATTTTTTGAGATGAAAGTATAATCGTTACTCTATCTACACTATTAGTATACGTTCCTTACCACCATTATACCGATGTATATTATTAATGAGTGATGATAGATAAGACTATTATAACTTAACTATAATAGTTTTCAGAGCACCGTCTGTATGTCGACCTAATAGCATATATTCCTATCAATAAATCCACTAGACCTTAGACTTAAATACTAACAATATATTTCACACCAGTAATAACCCACACCTCACATCTAGATCGAGACCTTTCACAGAAGTGAAAAATTCTAGTTTACTGAAACTATAATGACTTTAGGTTTTATTTTGAGTCTTCTTGTATTGCACTGGCAAAATGTATTGTGGTATTCAGACGCATTCGTTGAACTTTCTGAAAATAAAAAGGAGCGGTAACACTTTGTATTCTTGTAAACATGAATAACATTTTAGATATAAAAAATATTCTGTGCCGCTACACAGCAGTATAACATACTATTTCCTATCCAGGTAAATCACATAAAACTCGACCACCATATTATTAATAGATACATAATAACATGAATGTTTTATTTTCTATTTAATTTTCAATTTAAAGCTTTTCAAATTTTCAAACCTACTTTATAATATATATTGTTTACCTCTTGTGGATAACTTAACAGAACTATAACGTTTATTTGAAAATAAAAATAATATTTACACGAAGTCTAGTAGTTTCACTTTCTAATGTTTTTGATACACAAACAGACCCACAACTCAATAATAACAACAACAGAGCTGAGCTATACAACTGTCATCTATGACAGTCGTTATTTTCAACTTTACAAATAATAAATGTAAGACAAATAAAGCGACTTCAATCTTGGATATCTAGATGTTTTATAAATACCCTACAACATCTTATTTCGTATTGTAGGATCACTGTAAATATTTAGCTATATATAGCTTTATTCGTCAAAAAATTAAAATATAAACCAAGAAAAAGTAAACCCTATCAATTATAATTAAAATAAAATAACTTGATATCTACACTCTTTTAGAAGTCTTAACAATAAAAGATAAAATACAGGTCCTATTGTATAAATTTTAATGTAAATCCAATAAAGACATTTATAACATTAACAGGTAAATATTAAAAATAAATCCATTGCCAGCATAACACTGACATCATTATTTAATGGTGACCTAATTTCAGCTTGAATGATGCGAACTAAGCACGCACGTGGCCGTCGTGCCGTGCAAAGCTCGGCAGACGTTTCACTCATTGTGGCATTCGCTTTAGAACACAAAAATTATAGTCGATCACCGACATTCTATATCTGCGCGGGCGCCGCCGTATAACCCGTTTCACGCGCCAGTGGTCGCCAAGCAAAGACGAGTTGTTTTTTTTTGTTTGACTACCGAAGGAGGGCAATGTTTTTTGGATACATTTCTACATTTTACCTACTACTTGTTTATTATTTTTTATTATTATTATTTTTATTTTTAGCTATTCTATTCTAATGTAATTTTATAAATGAAAGAAATAATAAGAAGTATTTTATTTATCAATATAAGCATTTAGAGCGGCAAAAACAATGTGATAGTATAATAATAAAAGAGTTATCATTAGATTCTTCTTATTTATAAAGTGAATAATACGACGATACATAAAATAAATTCTTACTACAATTTATTGCTTATTTATCAAGAAAACTGCAAGACAAAAAAAGACAAAACTTCTGGCATAAGCATGATATTTATTTGTTTGAATTTAAAAACATTGTCGGTTGCCAAGGAAGCATTACGATTCAAATGTTCGTTGCTTGCAAAGCCGCAATACAATCGTAATCACAATACAGTATAATCGGTAATATATAGATAGATTTTTATGTACTATGTGTGTATCATCTACATATTGGGAATGTAATATAAAAGTGGGCCAAGTATTGATCCCTGGTGGACCTACTTAGAAAAAAGTTTTTAAATTACATACAAACTTGACATGTGTCAAGTTAATATACATTATTTATTTTGTAATGTTAAAATTGAAATTAATAACTTAAATAATGATTATTTATCCAATAAAATAATTGAACTAATTCGAGATAAAGATAATTAGAACAGAAGCGACAAAATATTCATTCAACAAAATTCGTACTGAAATAGATTTTTGTATGTCCTGAATAAGTAAATCACATTGTTTTATCTATTTCTTTGTTTATATCTACTAAAATTCATAGACACCATATAATTTTAGAATTAAAAGAAATTTTTTACGAAACAAATCAAAAGTCAAAAAGATTATATCACAATAAACGCAATTTTCAAATTACTTCAAAACTTAAAAACACAATCTAATGTAAACTTTATATTTGAACAATATTCTAATTTATTTGAGCAAAAAATAAGTTTTGAAATTAATATTTATAAAAATGTTTGAAACATCGGAATGTGACGCTTCATGCGTAATATTTTCATTTGGATTGTTATGAATTCGTTGCTTCAAAGGAATTTCCTGCTCTTAATCAAGGAGCAGTTTGGTACACGAATGCGATTCTGGAATGCTTTAAACTGGACGGTTGGAGATGTTCAGTTTCATGTATTACTATTACGATCGTGAATTTGTTGAGTTATTTCATGTATTTATAATGTCTATTCGTATTTATGTTACTTCAGGATTGTTTAAAGAACCTACTATAAAGAATGTTTTCAGTTTCATTCATTAAATGTTCAATTCATATAACAAGTTGTGTTGCTGTAGTGCCAAAATCACATATTCATCTCTTTTAGAATACCACAATTGGCAATTTACTCCTTAAATAGTTATTATAACTTTTTTTATGTTGTTAAAATCAGAATCAATCAAAGGAAATAATATTTAAAAACTTTATTCAAGCGAATTACCACATAATAACTAAATATTTTATTATTGTATAGTTTTATGCAGAGTTAGAATTTATTAAGTAAAATAAAATAAGTTAAGCCAATTTTATACTTTTTAAAATAAAAATGCGTTACAAATTGATTAGCATAATATAGGTATTGTATTGAATGTATCTATAAGATATCTTTGTACATAACATTAATTTCTTTATTATTCTATTAAATAATAGCCTGTTTAACATACTCATTTAGATATATTTCTCATATTATACTTAAGGTTCAATATATTAAATTTGCAAGGTATTAACTAGAAATATATTTTAATTTAATTAATAATAGATATATTCAAAACGTAGTCTTAACATATAAGGATATAGTAATAATCATACACTAGTGTTAAAATTTAAAGACGTATAAGAAACTTATATTAGGCAACTCTTGTATGTAAATTTTGTTGAAGTAAATCCATAAATAATAACTCATACAGTCTTCTATAATCAACATATAGTGAACGCTCGAACTAAACGGAGTGATAAAAACAAAAAAAATATCTATTTGTTTTTGTATCAATCGTAATAGACAAATGACAAATATATTTTTTCCCTTCCCTATTACAACGAAAACATATCTATCAACAGATCGTTAATTCACTCGATGACGGTCTGAATGGAGGCAGGAAATCTTAAACGAGTGACAGAGAAAGAATTAGTTTTCACTTATTTTTGTATTCCCGTGTTTCGGATGATGAGAATGTTCTATAAATAAGGGTGGAAAACCAACGTAAAATTCAGTGTAACAACACTCGCACTCGGATTCGGTTCTTGTTACAATTGCCAACCCTACACACTAAACATGGTGAGAATATAAGTTTTGTTGTGAATTGGATTTATAACAGTGTTATATAAATGTGCATCTTGTACGAGTATAAATAAAAAATAACTTAAGTGTAACATCAAGGCCATAGTTTTAATTGTTTCCAAATAATTCAGATATTTTTATAACATGTTAAAAAACATGTAAATCATATTTTTTTATCGTTTTTGATTATATTTTTGATATTATTAACTTGTCTATAGGACTCAGATGATGAACAGAAGATGGCGATGCTGCGCAAAGCCTTCCAAATGTTCGACACTACAAAGAGCGGATACATTGACGTTTTGAAGATCTCCACAATTTTGAACACCATGGGTCAACTGTTTGATGACTCTGAACTCCAAGCCCTTATTGATGAAAATGACCCTGAAGGTAAAAACTTATATTTTCGAACTACTTTTTGTTTATTATCTAAAAATAATTGTAATATAAGATCGAAATAATGTATTTTTGTATGTATTCTTACGATATCGTCACCAATTATGAATTGGTTTTAATAAACTTTATTGCAATTGTAGGGTTTGCTCCGATATTAGAAATACTAATTTTATCTCAAACATCACTTTAATTTGAAAAATCAAATAATTAATAATAAGAAATCTTGTCAATCGGTTTTGTAATGTAATTTAAATAAAAAATGATAAAAAAAACATTTATGTCTTAAAATAAAATGATTAAAAGTAAAATAGTAGTACTGAAAATAACTTATATAAATTATACAATTGTGGTCCTTCGAAGGATTATATCTGTCCATGCCACTCAACTTGAAAATGAACTCAACCTTGCAAAACGTTTTCGAATAAATAATTTAGAAGCTCTGGCCGGTCATCAATTATAAATCATCAACATTAGAAACCTCCTTTTAATAATCCTTGAACTAAAATTGGCATCTCTCACATCCTCGAGGCTAGTAAGTTTGTCTTGTTTACTTATCACCCATTCTTTAATAGCATCAATAATTAATAAAAGTCTAAATTTATGTTCGAGAAATATATATATCCCGGACATATACGAGTATAAAGGTAATTAATAATTTTTCAAATAACAAACCATCCACATTTTGCTAATAAAATCATTTACATTTTATTTTCTACACCATTTTATTACTACAAGTGACTAGTTCAATATAAAGTAGTGCAAAAATACTTAAATTAAAACCAAAAAAAAATAACAAATTTTTAATAGATGTCCGCTAAAAGATTTATAATTTTCACCATAAACGGGAACAAATAGATTCTAAGCATACAAATCTGACAAAATTTCTTTTAATAGATAATAAACTCATTATCACAGTTTCATTCGATACAAAAAAATAAACTTATTATTTCCTTAAAATCGAAATGTGTTTGATTATTTTTAACACCATCACATAGACCAATTTGGTCCAAACTGTAAACAGCTACAGAGAGAACATTAATCATCGCTTATAACTAGAGAACTATCTTTGGAATCTACACTACAAACCGAGTATATGGCTGACGTTTAAATACATTGCAAGGTCAAAACGTGTTACAGTAAACAGAAAACGTAACGATCGGTCGACGTAGATCAACGTAAACGATATCCTACCAACAACCAATCGTCATAGTGCATAAGCAAAATGTACAAGCTCGCATGAAATTCGAGACATCTGGAATATTTTCTCATCATTCAGTAACCAATGAATCTATTTATAAATATGGAGAGCTGCATTAAATTATAGTTTACTCGAAAAAATCTGTCTCCGTTACTTTGATTTAGTTATTTACGAAAGGAACGTTGAAAGAAATAGACAATCTTTACCATGAGGAATGCCAAGGTTTATTGCTGATAGTTACCTGAACTAAATGATAAATGTAAAATGTATAAATTCCGTGGACTTAATACAATATCTTCACATGTATTCTTACTTACGTACTTTTTTATAATAACAGGATGTATAACCACATTATCCTGGGCATATATTACTATTATTACTTTTATTACAATTTTATTTATTAATATTTTCCAGGTAGTGGAAAAATCAACTTCGATGGCTTCTGTAATATTGCTTCCCACTTCTTAGAAGAGGAAGATGCTGAAGCCATGCAACAGGAACTGAAAGAAGCTTTCAGGTTTGTTAACTATATATTTTTGCAAATATATATATATATATTTTTCAGAATATAGGTTTTATATTCTGAAAAGTAGAGCACCATATTTTCATTCAAAATCTCATTTTTTTATATTACCAGTAATAAGGATTAAAATAGCACACGGACTGATAGTTTACCTAGCGAAAAGTTATTTCTGTTGTCATAGACAGCATGATAACATGCTACTTCTTATAAATTACTACTACTGACGACTAAATATATCTATTATGTCAAATGTTGAACAATCTTTAGTACTCTTTGAAGGGAAACAATAATATCAAGTACTATCTAGTCCTAAAAATAAGTTTAGACAGAATAATACAAAACTTCCAATCTGATAATTATATCTTCAATAAATCTAAACCGAAAGTTATTCAAATCATTTTCTTGGGTTTGGTTTTCTTAATTTGATTTTATTACTAGGTCCTCATTTTCGTTTTATAATTATTCAGATTGTACGACCGTGAAGGCAACGGCTACATCACCACCTCTACTCTGAAGGAGATCTTGGCTGCTCTTGACGACAAATTGAGCAACTCAGACTTAGATGGCATCATCGCTGAAATCGACACTGACGGCTCCGGAACCGTCGACTTTGATGGTACGAATTATTTGCATATTATTTTTAAATTTACAATACCGAATCATACAAGTCTGATTAAGATATATTTAAAAACTATAAACTATAAAACTTTAAACTATGGTTGACTGGGAGAGAATGCTTTTAGCATTAAGTCCGCCATGTACACATATTTGTACTAATGAATAAATAAAATAAATAAATAAATATATTTAAAAACAAGTGTATTTATACTACATAAGTGGGAAGCAAACAGCCACAGGTAGTAAACGGTTACTGTATAATATAATTCGCCATTTTGTGACTGTAGTTATTTTAAAACGATGTCATTTAGTTGCATATTATATTCTTCAAGTTCTTTCATTAACACTCGTACTAACAAGATTATTAAAATATTATAATATTAAGTATTGTACTAGAGGTGCGTGTACAATTTTACCTCAATCGGATGTCAAGAAGCGGTTCCAATTCAGCTTATAAAATTTGACCATTAATACTAGTTAAAATTATTACTAGTGAATCTACTTAAGATGAAATCTCGCTAATATTCACTTTTATTTTTACATCCTTGCATACCTCGCTTGTCGTCATCAGCATGAGATGCCAAATGAATGCAAACTGACTGTACATTGGATTAAGAATGACGCACCCCCCTAAATGTGGAGACACAAATACTTTTTTACGAATATAGGTACTCAATATTCACCTACGATTTTCGATAATAAAAGCGGTAAACAAGTTCTGAGATATGTCAACGCTATACGTAACTATTATAAAGAGAAATCGTCTTTGGCATTGTACCAAATGCTTTTGCCACAAAGTTATTCAAAATCATTATCAATAATAATGACAGGGTCAATACCAAGGGAAAATATTAAGAATTTCTAATTGTAACATTACTTTGTAATTTTAAAATTTTATTACAATTGTATTTTAATTATTTTAAATAAAGTAGTCTCTACGTTTTTTGCTAGTATCGTGATACATCTTGTACTTTCCTGTAGTGTTCTGCCTGGTTCTTGAATAAGGGTACACGAGTATGCAACCCCGACCCCTCGAGCTACTGAAATTTCTATACAACTACAGTACCCGCTTTTCGTTTTTCTCTATAAATACTTCATTTCTTTTTACCAACTTCGTTTACTCACTCCCAAAATTTCCACCTTTTTTTTTCTATACATATACGATGGCGGATACTACCAACAAATGCATTCCTAAAGAAGGTTGACGTCAGGCAAGCGGCCGGTCGTAAAACCAAAAGCGGAATAATTGGAATAAGGGCAGTAAGAATATTATACATACATAACAAACAAGGTACAAAAAGACATAAAAGAACATACATGTACCACTAAGTTATGCAAAATTTTACTCTCACAATGTCACCTTGTTAATTTTAAATACATTACTAACATTCTTGCAATTTCTATTTTAATTGTAGGGTTATATTTTATTAAAAAAAATAATACTTTGATTCCTTTGTGTCATTCAACTCACAAAATGTGCGGATTACTTTATAACTAGTTTTTTTTTTAACTTACTTCATAACTGTTAATTTCTAAATATGTCTCATCTTTATTGGCTGATAATGTATATTAGATGTTCAATTTGTGCTCATATAATGCATATAAATCTGAGTAGTTTTGCAATAATTAGTTAAAATGCAAGTTACGAAAATACTGAAATAAAATTTGGGTTTCTTATAATCTCCTTTATACAGACTAATATCACAACCATGATCATTTTTTTAAATGAAGTAAAAATATTCTTGTTATTTATAGACGACAGTAACATTAAAGAATTAAAAAATATATATAAGTCAAATAGTTCGCTACGTTAAAATTATATCAATAATTTAGATTCTATTCTGTATATAGTGCTCGGGTCTACTCGATGTCTACTACATATAAAAAAAGCAAATTCAAAATTCCAATTCCAATTGCTTTTACTATTTACAAATCTTTACAAATACTATTTATTTTCTGTCACAAAGTAAATCCAATATCTAGCAATTGCAAAATCAATCATGGTAGAATATTATAAGCAACATATTATTACGTCATATTACTAATTGGCATTTCTTGAGGCAGTGACTTACGAAGTCGCTAAGTAACTGTCAAACACATCTGATATTCTGATTGTTTGTTTCCGTTTAGAAATTCAGGTAATTAGACCTTATTAACACTATATGTCAATTTATTATTTTATAATTGGAATTTAAATTATATGTAGACAATAAATTACGGATAGAAACCAACAAATTAATATCACTCTTATGTTCTATATGCTTATTGCCCTTTTTAAAAGTATAGTATGTATGATGTAATGAATGTGAACAATAACTGAGAATCAATTATTAGATTATTAGCACAAAATACTAATAAGCTAATAAATAATGAAATTAATTTCCTTGAAAGAATCCATAGATATCGTAAGAATCGATAGAGGGAGGGGGAAATACCCTCAAAAAACAAATATAAATCCTAAGTGCTGTTGCCAACCCCCAAAAAGCGAGGCAACTACTGGCACCCCCCCCCCCCCCCCAAGGGGAGGCTTATGTTGTGCAGTGGACAGTTAAAGGATTACAGGATAGGATATGATGATGATGTACTTATAATATACTTATATTTATTAATTTCATTATTTTTTTACAGAATTCATGGAGATGATGACTGGAGACTAAGCTGCTCGTTAATATAGAACTATAGTATTATTAATATTAGTTAATAATAACATGTAAATGTTTACAAGACTTCGGCACTAGTACAAACCATTAATGCGGTATTAGCATTGTTGTTAAAAATTAAATTATAATGCATAATGTTTAATCTATCTTATAGATAGGTAATAGAGTAAATAATATAAATCTTAACTTTGTAAGAGTTCGTTCCAAAAAATTATTTCCGGAATAATTTACACGTAACGAACTTATATTTTTTATAAACAATTATATGCTAATATTTATAACGCATTGCACTATTGTATTTGGAAATTAATACTATACAAAAAGAAATATAATATCCACAATATTGAAAGACACTTTTATTTATATATTTATTTTCCATGGGATAAAAAAATATTTTATTCTGGACATGACTGGAATAGATAACAGTCTTATGCAAAGTTTTCTTAGTTACGTACTATACATAGATAAAATATATACAATTCTTATGAATTTACGAGTAGAATTAAGTTTGGGTACTTGACACAATACCGCGTTTCTTCACACACTAAACGTGACACAGCCACGATTTCTGCCCTTTCTGCCCTCTATCTCTACGTGACAGTGTGTGAAGTAATTAATAAGTCTAAATAAATAAAAAAAATTACAGAGATTGTATTACCGAATTTTATTTAAAATATTTTATAGTATTTTAAAGATAGGTATTAATAATAATATTATAATATGTAAAATAATTAGCGTATTCTTAACAACATTATCACAAATGATATTTTTAGATCTTTCTCATTTATCTAATTTTACAGATACAAAATGTAATGAAATCCATATTAAGTGAACTAATGAACATAGTAGAAAGTTATGTTTGCCTATATATATTTATAACGGAAAGTTTATGAATTTACCATATTTATCGCTTTCGACAATTGTTCAAAAAATTAACCTATGTTACAATTTTTTTTGCATATGTATGTATATTTTCATAATTAATATTTCAGCAAATAGAAACAGTAGCATAAAGAAATTCAAAGAAAATCTAAGGAACTAAACCACTCAATTTGTAATAAAAATTTCTAAATATTTTTAAAATTTTTTCATGTTTTATTTAATTAGGCACAAATTTAGTTATTCAAAGATTATAAAACTAAGTAATTCTATCTTTCATAATTCGTAGTTATCCCAGTATCTTCTAACAGAAGAAACCCTCCAAGACACGTAATTGGAAAATTGCCCAATTGCATTTTGTATCCTGAGCTCAACGTACAGAAATGTAAAACAGTTTTAAAACTACTTAGCATATAATACAATACATATTTTTATTATATTATTAAATCTTCACCTGTACTTTCAGAAATGAATAACTCAAGTATTACGTCATTGTAATGATCCTAAAATTGAGAATATGACGCTAATAATATTGACTGTTTTGATAATTTTAATTTTTTAATAACTTTTAACTTAAATATCTTCCATCTTCAAATCATCTTTTATTATTTGATATGTAAGCATTGTAAAAATGGCCTTGTTCTCACTACAACCATATCTGCCTGTGGTTTCGATAATAATAGATATTTGTTATAATATTAAACTAATATAATTATGCTGAAAGGTTGGCACTAGATTTCTATAATAACAACTCTATTTATATTTATTTTGTTATCTTAAATATTTTAGTCACTGAAATTCCGACTATCAAATACTGTAACACGTACTAGAACTTCTTAATGTAAGAACAATCGATTTGTTTCTCATTTGACCACTTTTGAATAGATGTGATAAAAAGAATTTGACGGTACAGGTAAAATATTGAATGAACATACGCATATATGAATATGAATTAAAATGTACGAACAACGTAGCAGTCAAACAGAGACTTCTTCACCACGTTGTCAAAACTTGCTTCCTCAAAATAATAAGCGACATAGAACGAGGTCCAAAAAAATCTTAATTGTCATATTCGGAAAATGCCTTATAAGTTTTTTTACCAAAAAATATTAAAGCATCGGAGATCAAGGGCTTTTGTTAACGAATGTACAAAATTATTTCTAGTTAACTGACTCCAGCGGCTCAATTGGCTCAAGAAGAGAAACATAAAGAGACACCAGTTTTGTCAAGATATTAGTGTGGTTTAATATTTTCTGACTTTCCTTGACTTCTGTTAATTGGGAATATTTCTAAGGAAAATGTGGATATTATTTTTATTTATAAGCGGCGTGTTGTCTGCTCCTAAAGACGAATATCGAAGTATTATTAATGAAGCAGGTACAAATTTTATAATACTTTATTACTATCTATTTTTATTTTATTTATAAAATACAACATATCACAGATTTATTCTTAGGCCATATAATGTAATGTAGATTAAAAAGAATATTTAATATTCTAAATTCTTTTTAACTCGTCGTAATGAAAAACATTTGATTTTTGACCAATATTACCACAGATGTAAACCTACTTAAAATCAATTCTGCATCCCATATTCCATAATTAAGTTATTTACTATAAATATCGCTACAAAAGGATTAGACTTAACTGGACTCTAGTTCAATCACTTAGTTCGGAGTGATATCGTCTGTAAAGAAGAGTTCGAAAATAATTAATAAATAAATAAACAGTTAATCTATTCGAATGATTTTACAAATTATTGTTTTTTTAATAAGTTTGGATGTAACTACTATAAGCACTTTATAAATTTAATAATAATAATATAATCAATAATAATTAAATTCTAATATATTTAAAGTATAAGAATATAAAAGAGTTACTTACAATTTTCAGAAATTACATTTAATGATGATGTATTTATTAAACATATAGTTCCGTCTGGTTACTCTCCACAAAAAATAAAAGAATATTCGTCAATTGATATAACTGACTTCGTCGATAAGGTAAATTTGAAATAAAAAAAAAACAACAAAATATATTTGAAAAATTATGGCAAATATTCGTTAAATTAAAATTTATTTCAGGACAATAAAAATTATCAATTACTTAATGATTACATGAGTAAAGGTTTTACAATGAAAGGCATAACATTTAATATATACGACGATAATCAAAGAAAAGCTACAATAGCTCTTTTCAATATGCTCCAAGAAATAAAAAAACATGATGTTACTTTTGTGATGGACTGGATGCAAAGTAACATCAATAAACACATGTATGAGTACGTTTTACGCCTTCTTGCACTTTATGGAAATCAAAATGTTGAAAAATTATTACCACCATTCATTTATAAACCACACTACTTCGTTAATAGTGAGACAATTGCAAAAGCCTATAGAGTAAAACTCAACAAAGGACATATTAATAAACAAGAAGCCGATGTGTATCAAATTTATAAAAATAACGATCACATTACATATATCAATACTAATTATTCTAGTTGGAATATGCCATTAGATATTTGTGATATAGAAGTTAATTATTTCAGAGAAGATATAGCACTAAACAGTTATTACTATGGTGTACATTTAGCACATCCGTTCTGGATGTCCAATGAAGAATTGGATCAAATTAATTCAAGACATGCGGAACACTATCATTACAAGCATCAGCAATTATTAGCTAGATATCTTCTAGAAAAAGAACATTTGGATACTAGGAATACTTCACTAAATCATCAATGCGTAGGTGATTACTATCCATTTTTATCGTATGAAAATGGTCTAGCCTTTCCAAGTCGATCTCATTTTCGCAATATATCGAATGAATATAAAGTAGCTCTTATATCTATAGACATTGCTTTAAAGGAATTTATTTCAAGGAGACTAATAATAATGGTAAGTTTATTGTATATTAAAGTTTTTGAATGAATATATTATCTAAGCGTGACGTATTTCTCGGCTGAATGTTTTTAAATGCTATTTTGTGAGATAGGAATTAAATTCGCAAGAAGAGAGGCTAAAGAGAAGAATGTTTATTTATTATATTGACTATGCAGTAACGATTAAAAAATATAGAAACAAACAATTTGACAGCTCATTTTTTTGAAAATTTCATTTATTTTCAATACTGTTTGTTACAGGATAACGGTACATTAATAAAAATTACAGATGACAATTATATATCATTATTGTCAAAACTAATTCGGGCTAATCTAGACGGAATTAAAACTGCAAAAATGATCCGAAATGTTTATGGATATGGTACCTATAATTACCCGATGAATCAGTAAGACATTTTATTTTTTTTTTTATAATATTCTAACTCATTTTTTTTAATATGAAATATATAAAAAAAAAATATTTTCAGGTACAACCCGGCACCTTCGGTATTACATCATCCGGAAACATCCTTGCGAGATCCAGTTTATTGGAATATAATCGAAAGCGCATTAAAATACTTTAGAGATTTTACGAATACCATAGAACCATTTGATATTTCAACTTACGAAATGAATGAGTTATCTATAACTCATAATGATTTCTCAGTTATTGCTACCTACTTTGATTATTACCAATTCAACATAAATAAAGCATTATATCCTTTAGACAGCCCATCAGAATTATCAACCGTTATAGCAGCAAGACAAATGAGATTAAACTATATGCCTTTTACATTAAATTTTACTGTATTGTCTGCAATCCAGCAAAGTGTTGCGGTGAGATTATTCTTAGGTCCACGGTGTTATTATACTACTTGTTTTCATAACTATTATAAATTTTTTGAGCTTGATTCTTATATTGTAAAAATGGAAGAAGGCGCGAATATTCTCAGTTGGTGTCCTCAAACTTCTTCGAAATTTTCTTTTGATGATTACTATAATTTGGAAACAATTAAAGAAAAGGAAAATAAATTTGATATATTTAAATTTCCAGGAAACCTTGTAATACCCAAAGGTTCAGAAGAGGGACTTAATATGACTTTGTTTATTATTATCACACAAGTGAACGATTCAATATCTAACAGTTTTCTATATAACAAATATAATAATCAGACATCTCTGGAAATAGATGACAAACCTCTAGGATTTCCATTCCATAGAATTGCTAAAAATTACGTTCATAATGCTAACAATTATAGATTTTATAATATATCGATATATCATAAAAAACGCACAATCAATGCAAGTGGTCATTTTTCACCACATTTATATTGATTTATATAAACGTTAGATGCCACCCACAATGTATTATATTATATGTATTGTAACTTCATAGCTATATATGTACCTATAGCTGGTTGTGAGCCCAGAACATATTCATATGTTCAAAAAAATTACCATAAATATTATAAGAAGTTTTTAAAATATTAAGATGCTACAAATATTAATAAGTAAGGATAAATATAAAGAAAGAAATAAGAATATATAAAGAAGAAGTAATAAATAAGTATAATAAAATATAGAAAAAATAAAATATAAAGATTATATATAAAAAAGATGAATATTTAATAATGGAACCTTTTAAGGAATTATAGTTCAAAGTCTGCATTGAAAAAAAAATTTTATTATCCGATTTAATCAAATATTGATGTTAAAAATGTTTAGTGAATAAATAACTTTAATAACCAATTTCTTAGCGTCCTTACATATTGTAGAAACTAACGTTTCTCTATATTAAATATACAATAACAAGATAAATACTTCTGAATATTCGGTAATAACGAACATTCTATTCGCTACTATTACAAATGAGAAAAACTAATAAATTAAAAGACAACTACTATGGAAAACTACTATAAAAATTACGTCAAAGTATTATTATAATATATAATTGGGTTGAAATTTAGAATATAATGTTTTTCACTTATTTATAGAGTCAAAAGTTTGAATTAATCAACATCCCTATTATCATAGTCATCCATTTGGTACTATCTAAAAGAGGAGTTAAAAACATTTAGAGTGCATAAGCAAGAGTAGTTTGTATATTTCTTTATACCTATATCGAAATAACTGGAGAATGGATATTTATTTATTCTACAGTTAAATAATTAATTACTTCCTTACTTATTTAATATTCAAGAAGAAGACAAGAAAAACAAAAGTTTTAATTTTAGTACATCATATTTATTTTATTAACATATTGTTATTTCATAAACATTACCTGAGAAATCTTTTTCTCTCCTTTTAGTGTTTGGGGACTTGGTTTTGGCTCCAGTAAGAAGTATAATATGGGTACTCTTCACCTTCTTGATAAATGTAAACATCCTTGAAGTACATGTTAGGCTGAGTAAAGTAGTAAGATTCAGTTACTGGACGATCGAACGGATAGCCAAAAGGCTTATTGTCTACTACGAATTCTTTCATCGGTTCCCATTCTTTGTACGGAGCTTGGTATGGATAAACAAATACGAAGAACTGGAATGGAACACCTCCCTCGGTACCTCTAGGAAGCAGTAGCCTTCTAGGTAATAATAAAAATTTCTCAATCATATACCGTGGCACTTGGCCATTGTTCAAGAGCTCGTAAATTTTAGATACTGACACAGAGTCTTCTTTAAACCAGAAGAAATTTTCAGATTTACGTTCAATCTTATTTTGTCCTGAGGTAAGTTTATGAGTGAACCAATCTATTTCTACTAAATTCACCCAGTTATTTTCTAAGTCAATAGGATAACCATTACCATCATATTTGGGACCGATAAAGATCTTGATGACAGCTTCGGATTCAACATCTGACTTGATATCAATAGTTACAGTAAATGGCTGATTATTCAATCGAGGTTGGCGGACGATGTATGAAGGAGACCCGGTATCGAGTTGTTGTTCGGACAAGTAAACAGCGTTGGTAGCATTCCAGTCGAAATATTCGAAGTAAGTGACTAGCTTATCAACTTTTACGTCGTTAATCTTGACGCCGACAAAATGAAGCACATCCTGAGTGTAAGGCTCCAAATACTCCTTGTACTGATTAATGAAATCTAAAATCTTCGCATAAAGCTGGTAAAAGGCAGGATCTCGCAGTGAGGTCTGGTAAAAGTCCAAAGCTGTAGGTACGTTCAAGTTTCTGGAAAAGTATGAAAAAAGTATTTTAATATTATTCATTTTTTAACGTATTTTATCTATTTATATCTTTATAATAATGGATAAATAAGAGATAAAAAGTTTTTAAATTTAAAACCAGAAGCTATGAATATGTTTAGTAACTACATTAAATAAAAGATATAATGACTTCTTTTTAACCCACTTCAAAAAGAAGGAGGTTCTCAATTTAGTTATTTTTTTTTTAATGTTTGTTACGTCATAACTCCGATAGTTATAAACCGATTTCAATTTTTTTTTTATTTAAAAGAATATACTTATTTATGTATTTGGTCCATAATTTTTTTTACAAAATCGGTTCAGTAATTTAGTTTTTAAATCAAAACAATTTTTTCCAAAAATGAAGTCTTTTTTTGTGTAATATAATCTTAATTATCATAATATGTTCGTAGCTTTGTTTTTTTTATAATATCACTACCCATATAATATAATATGCAATCACATTACCCTGAAAAAACACAGGATCTTGCAAATATGTATACCATACACGTAAAAATTACACTTACTCATACGAATTTCTTGGAGCTGCACCGAGAATACGACGTGCAGCGTCTTCATATGATCGAAGGTAGTTTCTTTGCGGTACCTTTTCGTAGAGATCTACATTAGCTTGCCAATAGTTGCCAACGAAGTTTACCGATTTCGAGTTGTATAGATCAACTTCTTGCTTGTACTGTAATAGAAAACAATATAAGTTTTATTTCAATATTATCCACTACGTCCCACGCCATTGCCCATACAAATTACTTTATTCTATATGTTAGGATATAATCTAATCGTGTACCTCTGTCCTATTCGTGTTTCTACCGTGAAGCAGTTGTGTTTGCAGGGCTGTGTTTCGGTTTGAAGTGTGGGATATGGCGTGAATTTACAGGGTACAGAGGAATAACATCTGAGTCCTCAAGAATGGTAACGAATGGGGGGTCTCATGGGCGAAACAGTATACTCTGTTATGTCCATGGTACTGCTCAGGTCTATAGGCAACGGTTACCACTTTCCATCAGGTGGGCCGTCAGCTTGTTTGCCATTCTAGGTTGCATAAAAAAAAACAAATTTCATTCAAATCTATCTAGTCCTTTTAAATGTGATTCAGAAAGAAACATACAAACATCTTAACAACCAAACATCTTTACTAACTTTCGCATTTATAATATTATCTATTAGGATATACAAAATATTATAAGATATACTTACAGCCTTAAACTGGCCCTTCTGTAAAAACTGTAGGAAGGTTTTCTCATAACTATCAACAAACTGAATGTCTTCAATATTATCATCATTAGCCAAGTAGTAATCGCCGTTTCTTTGAGCGAAAGGTATCTGGTGAGTGGTCAAAAGCGGATAGTAACCAGCCTGTAGCCTATCATTCCAATTAAATCTTGGTATTTCACCAAGCCCATTGGAAAGACGTTCAAGATAATAACGAGCCAATATTTGTTGATAGATAAAATAGTATATTTCACCACGACGTTCCTTGAATGGCCCAATGGCATTTTCACCTTTTTCCCAGAATTGCAATTTACTATGGAAATAGTAATAATACGAATTCCAAGCAACGTCTTCAATGAAGTACGATAATAGATTCTCATTATTTTCGTAAGTCCAAGGACCAGAGTAGTTTGCGTAGAAATAGTAAGCATTATCCTTAGCTAACACACCATAATACTGAGCAGTTTCTGGTAAAATTAAACCCTTCTGCATCTGGATGCGATTTATCTTAGCTAGTACATCGCTGTTCACGAAGTACTCTGGCCATATTTCGTACGGAGCTGGTAAAACTATGCCACGTGTATCAGCGCGATGAATGACTGCGATGTAAAATGCGTAGATAAATTGACCCTCATTCAACCAAACACGTGCAAATGCCGCAGTTTTGTAGAAAGTTTCAAAATCTTTGGCATAATAGAACAGTCTGTATAGAGCTCTGACTTCTAGAGCTTGATTCTCGTAGTATATGGAGAATATTTGATTTTTAGCAGTAAAACCAGTTTTATACAATGATAAAAATTCTGTTACAACTTCTCGGTTCTGAAATTAAAGCAATAAAATTTATTATTATAATTTTATTTCAATTACTTTTTTGTGAATATTTCATTAGGAAAATATAAAAATAATTATAGTTCGTTTAAATAAAACTTTTAATTAAAAGGTAATTATTTTTTGTTGATATATATTTGTTATTTTGTTGAAAAAACAAATTGAAACATTCAATCAATTAATCGATTTTTTATTTCCACTACAGTCGTACATCAGCAGGCTCATCTTATGATCAAGTCAATTATTCCATTGGTAAGGATAATATAAGTTTTACTGGATTATTTGAACGAATATTTATTATAAGCACTGTAATTAATAAAGTAAATTATTATCTCTTATATAAGAGACTTATTCACGTGTACTTCATTTTAATGCATTTTCTATCTACTTTTAGTGAAACGAAGCGTATATAGATAATGGCATATAATAATGATGATGACTTCTGTAATATTTATATACACCTTTATAAATTGTACCTAATTATAACGCTTCACAAACTTCAGAAATAAGGAAGAACTTCCAAATAAGTATATATTTAAAAAAAATCCATGCTTATCTCATGAATCCATTGAAATGGTAGTATAGCTAGTCGTTATCTTGCTTTTATATTTTATATATTTGTCTAGTTATATTTATATATAATTTTACTTTATATTTATGTATGTATATTTCGTATATTCAGTTTAGATTACATGTATATATTTATTTATTTACAGATAATATGATAATGTAAATGTATGTATGTATATTATATTCATCATTCTTAATTATTACAATTTTTATATTACACTTGTTAAGTATGTATTAATTGTTATTATCTTTACCTATCCTAATAATGAAATGCTGCGTTTGTTACTAGACTCTAAAAAAACCCGTCAACTTCTAGGACCTAGAGGTTGACCGGTTTTTTTATACCACTTAAGTAGTTAAGAATGCTACTATTATTAAATCTACCGTTTATACTATAATATATTGTCTTGTGGTCAATAAAATTATTTAAATAAGTATGTAAAAAGGAATGGTTTTTTTCTCACATTTTCGATCATAAATAAAAACTATGCAGCATAATAATTAAATAAGTTTGAAATCGGTAGCCATAATAGTTGCTAAGACAAACAAAAGAACGAAAGACAAATTAACTCAGGATATAAAGGTACCTTTGTACCTTTTTGGTATAAAACCCTAAAAAGAATATTAAAATCATATTTTTATGAATAATTCCTAATTAATTTACATAAATTTTATACAAATATCTATCAATGTACTTTATCAATAATAAGACTATAATTATATTTTTAATTTTTTTTTGTATCATGTTACCTACTTACCGTATAAAATTCGATGTTTGCTTCAATATTGTATTCTTTACCAATTTTGTAATACTCATCATCAGGATCAACCTGTTTCCAGTTCTCCAAAAGTAACAAAACTTTTTTCTGAATATTTACCAGGTTAGGATCAACTGCAAATAAATTGTTTAAAATAAAGTATTCAGTTAGAAAGTAAACGGTAACACTTTTTTAATTCAAATCATCTTTATTCAAATACTTATTTGCAAGTATTTTTAAATCGTCATTTTTTAAATCTACTGCAGGATTCGGAAAGCTATTATCTGTTGAGAAGAGCCCGCGAGAAACTCGTCAGTTATTCTTTTAAATCTCTGTTATGTTTTATAAATTCACATACATATATTTATTCATATGTACTATGTCTAAAATTACATGGCCATTAAAAGCCTATAGTTGACAATTCTATTTGAAATATCGTTGTACTTTGTTAATATGTATAAGGAGAGGAAAGCAAACTATTTTGCCGCTCATTGATAAGTGATAATCGCGGACCGTGGATATTAATAAAATTCTTTATTTGAAAACAAGAAGTCTTTTTAAAGTCCTCCTGCCATGTATTGAATTTGCATTAGTTATTATATTATTCAAATTGTAATTTTATATATATTACAATAAATGAATCTCATTTTATACTTCTCAACTAACGATAAAATATATACTCGTGTTTTGTAATTAAAGATCTAAATTGTACTCATTGCAGGAGAGAATATATTGTCTATTTTATTCACCCCATTAACAATAATATAGTAAGTAATACGATAAATCTCCACTAGTTTACTGAAAATTTCTATCCACCAAACAAAACAAATTATTAATATTTATAAAAACAATATCAATATAAATTTGTCACCTATTTCTCAAATAAATAAACTATAATTAAACCTAAATATTCCCAATTCACAACTGTCTAATTTTTATCTGCTGCAAAATAAGAAAACGGTATTATTAAAATCGATTAATTTACGTCACTTACGTGTCTTGGTTTTCACATTGTTATTGAATAGAGGGTAACCAGCGGCGACCAGGCCTATAAGCGCCGCTAAAACGAGGACAGTCTTCATTGTCACCAAAGCCAGATGCCAACTGTGCCTCGCTAATTAGTTTCCAGGCATTATATACAACCCCTTATCTTTTGTCGATTATTATAAAAAAATGGAGGTGTAATCAGAATGTTATCTCTAGAGGTCCATTTCCAAAACATACGACCTGATATAAGAACGTGACTTTCTAGATAAGTGTGATGATATTCATTAAATATATTTCATTTAGTGATTTTATAATATTTTATAATTAATAAAAATGATTGTGGGTATTATTATGTGTAATGTAGCGATTACCTTCATCAGATGATTAACACTAAAATTACTGATGATCGTTTAGAAATTGAATATAAAAAGCCCCGTCTTGAAACGCACGTTCTGTTTTTCGAGAAAATTTGATTTCATATAAAAATTGGATTTATAAATATTTTTAACCACAATTATCTAATGCTACACAAAATTGTCTTTTGTCTTATCAATATCATTACATCATATCATTTACTGTTAATTGCTAAATTTTAGGTTTTACCAGTAGTTGCCACGCTTGGCAGGCGGGTTTGCAACTGCAGTTAGGCTTTGCTGATATTTTATGACGGACGCTGCTGCCTATCCCTTGACCATTAAGTTTCCTTAGTCCTCTTACGACACCTACGGAAGAGGAAGGGGTGGCCCATTCTATGCAGGAACCGCACGACAGTCTTCTATCTAATAATATACAAATTAATTTCGTTTTAAAATATAAAATATAACGTTTTTATTTAAACTAAGGCTTGTATTATTTAATTAAATTATAACTTCTGCTATTGTCTGAATATGAAATTATATTTCAATAAATATTTATTTATTCATTTAAGAATAAATTACTCACTTCACTTACAGTTTTCCAAAATATGTAGTGAGCCACAAGTTCATGACACAAATTTAAAAATTTTATGCAACTTAGAATGACAAATAAGCTGACGACCCTCCTAATGGAAAATGGTAACCGTCGCCTATAGACATGAGCAGTACTATGGACATAACAAAGTACACTGTTTCCCCCATGATACCCTCTATGCGTTGCCATTCCTGAAGACTCAGTTGTTATTCCCCTGTACCCTGTAAATTCACTGTCATATCCCACCCTTCAAACCGAAACACAACTATGCAACACACAACTGATTCACGGTAGAAACACGGATGGGACAGAGGTGCCCAAGTAAACGACTTTTGTACAAAGTCTCCCTAAGAAATTTATCATTAAAAATATCAATATCTGACTACTGAGTAATCAGAGAAATAAATGAAATATGATCAATCAGAATAATTCTTTTTTGCCATATGCGTAGGAAAGTAATCTATGGGCAAATATTTATATACTATTTGCTCATAGACTATTTTTATCCTTGCTATTCAACATGTCCCAGTTAAACAGACAAACTGCTAGTAAATAATTATTTTTTTTTTTACTTATTTTAATAAAAAAAAAAACATAAAGATGTAATTTCTTAACCATTGCTCCTAATTTAGCCAATAAATAAATTTGTATGTCGATTAATCGACTAGTAGTGGGAACTATAATTTTTCCGGTCACCATGCTTAGCAAAGCCGTAGAAACTAACTGGTTGGTTAATTTAAATGGACCACTGTAGTATAGGTAACTGCGGGGGAATTCATACTTATTTCACATCCTTTATTAAAATCTCGACTGCCTAAACCAACAATACCAAAACCACGAAACCACATCCAAAGAACGCTGGTAGTGTCGGTTATCTACTGCTATATTGGATTAATCAGCTAAAAAAAATTTGTTCTGATTTTATTTATCATATAAAATCGAATACAGTATATACATCAAAATAATAACAGTTAATTTACAAGACATAAGTTTATTGTTTCTGGATACTCGTAGATTTTTATTTTATATGAAAGTCACTTGTATAATTATTTTCTTTGAATTTCAATATTCGTGGAACATATAGTATCACATTTTAGTTCTGTAATGAGTGCATATGATGACTATACCCAATGTAACGGAATTTCTTTAAACAAATCATGCTCACGATAATGTCCAGATTGATAGCAGCGAGGTGAGCCAGGTCGTTCAGCTTCCTATATTATGACTGAACATAAAGATAGCTGGCTCATGCATCATACTCGTAAATGGGTGCTTCTAGTAGAGGCTAATCTGTTCAAGAATATGGTTGATTGTAGTTTTTATCGATATAAAATATATGATAGTCATTTTATCCATTCAATTTTTTTATAAACTCAACTATTTCTCCAAGAAACAACTGGTGAGTTTCTTGTCCGTTCTTCTTAGGTGTAATTACAATCCGAACTAGACGGTAAATTCATAAAAAAATATTACTATACAAAAATGCGTTTACTATAATTTTTTTTTTTATTTATTATCACTAATTTCAATAGAAATTCATAACATAAAATTCAATTATAAAATAATATTGACTTCTTGAGATTTTCATTGTTATTTTACACTATAAAGTATTATTATTAAAGTATGTAAATATTTAAAAAAAATCTTTCATTCTAATTACTACGCTACTCATTGTTCAAATTCACTTACTTATTATAAATATATTGAGTTTCATATTTTTCCAGAATAATTGCCAGTTATTAGAATATAAGATAATAATAACTCATTGAATAGGTGTATTAAAAAAAAAGATTTCATATACAGGATCTTATATTTTTTTTAATCATATTAAGCACGAAATTCTTCAAAAAAATTGATACTTTAAAAAACTTTCAGTTATTTTTTACTTAATGCTAAAGATATTATGTGATACCTACGAATTGTTAGAATGGCGTAATTAAATATACTTTATTTTTTAGTTAATTTATCTTTAATTTATCTACATTTTTCATCGTCATTTATATTAACCTATTGCAGTGAAACCAAAGATTGAAAAACATCATTAACGCCATGAAATTTCATTTGGACCCAAAATCATACAAATCTGCATTATTTTTATTTGAAAAAAATTATACGATTTATTTTGCACAATGAAATATCTACGATGCTACAAGGTCATAAGAAAAATAAAAACAAATTAACAGTTTTAATCGAGATTTATTTTGTTAATATTTTATCATTTCGTATACACTGTATGTAAATTTTTTCTCTCTCCTCTTAGTGGTTAGAGACTTGGTTCTGGCTCCAGTAGGAATTGTAATATGGGTACTGTTCACCTTCTTGATAAACATAAACATCCTTGAAGTACATGTTAGGCTGATTAAAGTAATAGGGCAGAGTCACAGGACGATCAAATGGATAACCGAATGGCTTGTTGTCCACTATATACTGTCTCATTGACTCCCATTCTTTAACTGGGGCCTGGTATGGATAAACAACTACGAATAACTGGAGTGGGAAACCACGCTGAGTACCTCTAGGCAATATAAGTCTTCTTGGTAGGTATATGTATCTATCAACCATGTACGACGGCACCTGACCATTACTCAGGAGCTCATAGATCTTGAACAATGATACAGAGTCATCTTTGAAGAAAAAGAATTCTTCCGATTTGCGTGCAATCTTGTTTTGTCCTGAAGTAAGTTTATGAGTAAACCAATCGAGTTCAATAAAATTGATCCAGTTGTCTTCTAGACTAATAGGAAGGCCATTGCCATCGTATTTGGGGCCCAAGAAAATCTTAACAACTACTTCGGACTCGACATCTGACTTGATATCAATATTTACAGTGAATGGTTTGTTGTTCAATCGAGGTTGACGGACAATATAAGAAGGAGATACGGTATCAAGCTGTTGCTCGGACAAGTAAACGGCGTTAGTAGCATTCCAGTCAAAATATTCGAAGTAAGTGACTAGTTTGTCAACTTTTACGTCGTTAATCTTGACGCCGACATAGTGAAGTACATCTTGAGAATAAGGTTCCAAGTACTCTTTGTATTCATTAATGTAGTCTAAGATCTTTGCGTACAGTTGGTAGAAGGCAGGGTCACGTAGTGAAGTCTGGTAAAAATCTAATGCGGTAGGTATGTTCATGTTTCTGTAAACAAATCAAAAGCATTTTAATACTTAATAGATCATTAACACACTTGTTTATTTTTTTAAATTTTTCCTGTGAAGACATTTAGCATTGAAAATAAAATAAAATATACAAGGGCTGCTCAATAATTTTCAATATTTTAGATAAACACACAGATAGACACAAGTACAGAGCTTAAAGAACATTTCTGAATCCTCCTTCTCTGAATTAGATAGAAGGACCAGAATACATAAAATATGTATAAAAGAATAATATTTATCCATTTGTAATTTGTTAAATGTTTTCCATTTTATGCTTGTTATCTAAGAACTCCGTCATTTATAAACTGATTTGAACTTATTTTTAACTCCCAACACAAAAAGGGTGTTATAAGTTCGGCATGTCTGTGTCTGTCTGTAGCATCGTAACACCCAAATAAATGGACTAATTATGATGCAGTCTTTTTTGTTTAAAAGATGATGTGATCGAGATGGTTCTTAACTACAATTTATAAACATCTGTTCAGGCGTTTCATGGTCATCATCTCGGAGCATTTTTAATTTTATATTATTATGTTATTAAAAATAATATACTTTCAGATTTATCTCATTGAAATTTCACCAAGATCAGTTCAGTATTTTGATTTTTAAAACAAAATAACTGGTCAGTTTTGCCACGATTAAAATAGATGTTTTTGTGGAGCAAAATCAAATAAAGTTTTCACTAAAGATTACCAATTTGAGAGTGATTAAACACTTAAAAAAAGCGTATTATTTTAATGTTTATATATAAACTTACTCGTAATTAATGGAACTTCTAGGAGCAGCACCAAGAACACGACGAGCAGTGGCTTCATATGATCGCCAGTAATTCCTTTTCGGCACTTTCTCGTAGAGATCCGCATTAGATTGCCAATAGTTGCCAACGAAGTTAATAGATTTCGAGTTGTATAAATCAACTTCTTGTTTGTACTGAAAAGAAAAATAATAATATTAGATCTATTGTTATATTAAATAAATTAAAATGGAAAATCAATATATTTACTTACAGCCTTAAACTGGCCCTTCTGCAACAATTGTAAGAAAGTCTTTTCATACGTATCAATGAACTGAATGTCGTTAATATTATCACCACTGGCTAAGTAGTAATCGTCATTTCTCTGAGCAAATGGCAACTGGTATGAGCTCAATAAGGGATAGTAACTTGTTTGGTATTTGTCTAACCAATTGAACCTCGGTATTTCTCCCAGTCCGTTTGCTAGACGTTCAAGATAATAACGGGCTAATATTTTTTGATATACATAATAGTATATTTCCCCTCGGCGTTCTTTAAGTGGCCCAATCAGTTGTTCGCCATTTTCCCAGAATGGAAATCTATTATGGAAATAGTAATAATACGAATTCCAACCAATGTCTTCAATGAAGTACGATAATAGATTCTCATTGTCTTCGTAAGTCAAAGGACCAGAGTAGTTTGCGTAGAAATAGTAAGCGTTGTCTTTAGACAATATTCCATAATATGGACCTTGCTCTGGAATAATCAGGCCTTTCTGCATCTGGATACGATAAATCTTGGATAAAACATCGCTATTCATAAAGTATTCTGGCCATATTTCGTACGGAGCTGGTAAAACTATGCCTCTTGTATCAGCGCGATGAATAACTGCCAAATAGAATGCATAGACGAATTGACCCTCGTTCAACCAAACACGTGCAAACGCCGCAGTTTTGTAGAAAGTTTCAAAATCTTTGGCATAGTAGAACAGTCTGTATAGAGCTATGACTTCTAGAGCTTGATTCTCGTAGAATATGGAGAATACTTCATTTTTAGGGATGAAACCTGCCTTATATAATGACAAGAATTCTGTTACAACTTCCCGATTCTGAAATTCAAACAATAAGTTATATTAAGCAGATTGATATATAAGCAGATTGATATTAAGATAGTTTTAATTTAAATATAATGCATTAATACTTAACAAAAAGAAGTAGTGTTTTAACCTATGAAAAATATATTTAAATAGAATATCTATATAAACAAAATTTTGTAAGACTTTTAAAATAGATGCATTTGAAAATTATCATTACGATTTATCATATTTTTAACTAAAATAAAAAATATATATAGACCTATTAAGTAAGTCGTTCTTTGATATTTCTTTACACTTACCGTATAAGATTCCATGTTTGCTTCAACATTATACTCTTTACCAATTTTATAATACTCATCATCCGGGTTCACTTGTTTCCAATTCTCCAAAAGTGATAAAACTTTTGTTTGAATATTTAAAAGACTTGGATCAACTGTAAACAAATAACAATAAAAGTAAATAATAATTATATTTACAAATATTGGTAATATAAATTTAAAATTTTTATTGCATAGATATATATAGGTTTCATATATGAAATTCTATTAAAGTTCACTAAGAAAAAAATATAGTTTAATTTAATATTTTAAAAATATACTGGCTAAGAATACCCTATATAACAAATAAAATAAAATATTTTAAAACAACGCAATTATTTTTATTATTTTTTCAAATATTAATAAAAAAGAATTGTATAATATCAGAAAATTACAAATTAAATTCCCAAACAAAAAATAGAGTACTGAAAAATATATTTGTATTCTAGTTTGAATGGATTTTAAAGTAAAAGACTAAATTTGATTTTTTACATAAATTTCTATACAATTAAATCTTATATATGAGAATTGAACTTTAATATTCATAATTTGCATTTGTCTACTGAAATATTACCTATTAAATGAGTTAATAAATAAAATAGATGTTTTCCTTACGTTTTCTGGTTTCCACATCGTAATGGTATTGCGGGTACCCAGCGGCGGCCAGGCTGACCAGCGCCGCTAAAAAGAGGACAGTCTGCATTGTCACCAAAGCCAGAAGCCAACTGTGCCTCTCGAAAAAAAATTACTCATTATATACCACCCTCTTATCTTTGCGAAGTAATCGATTGTTATAAAATATAGAAATGTGTTCATAAATCGTTATCTCTTGAAGTTAATTTTTAAAACATACCGTTTGCTGTATTACCTACTTTTGAATGACTTTCTAGATAGCGTGCTTATTATTTATTACCTAATTTATTAAAACAGGATCTTCCATAATCCTATAATATTTGAAATTTGTATATGCATCTATGAAGAGGCAAAATGCTGGGCCACCTTATACGACATGACGATTTTTTTAAGAGTATAATAGAAGGAAAGATAGAGGACAAAAGAGGAAGAAGAAGACCGAGGATTAACTACATGGGACATATAAAGGAAACACTAGGCGTCATGTCGTATAGGGAGGTAAAGGATATGGCCTGGGATAGAGCTGGCTGGAGGAAGATGCATGAATTAGTTGCACCGACAAGAGGAAACTCTTAAATGAAAAGAAGATATGCATCTATGTATGTACGTCTATGTATGTATATATATCTTGTATACATTAAACTGTTATATTATACTTCCACAAAAAATATTTAAAGAAGTCTGACAAGACGTGTTAGTTATAATTTTTTTTGACGTAGTAAAATCCTTAAAATTGTATGCTATAATACACAGATTTGGTTTGTCCGCTAATAAAATCATCATCATGCTTTAACTGTCCACTGCTGAAAATAAGCCTCCATTTGGATGGATTTCGCCAGTAATTGCCATGCTTGGCAGACGGATTGGCAACCCAAGTTAGGTAGACATGTTTTAAGAGGGACGCAGCCGCCCATCTCTCGTCCTCCCTTAGTCACCTCTTACGACATCTACGGGAAAGGAAGGGATGGTCCGTTTTATACCGGGGCCACATGGCATAAAATGGCCGCTTACAAAATGTCATGATAAAATTTACACAATTATACTACTACTGTTCGTCAGAGTGTTAATTTCACAGTGTTGTCTAGTATGTATGCATATATTATCTGTCAATTTTAAAAAAATAAATAATTATATATAAAAAAAGATCGTCTTATAAAATAGCCAACAGAGCACGTAGTGTCTCATAAAGCTTAAACATACTTTACTTATAGATTACGAAACTAATAAACTTGTTTATTTATTGAACTTTAGTAGATATAAATAACTACAGTGTACATTGTCGTAACTTACTAATCAAGTGGAGACAGAAATAGTACAGAATTAAAGTGAAAAAAGAAAAAAGTTGCGATGCAATGTTAAAAACAAATGAATACTAAAAAAATGTAAATAAAAAACTACAAATGTATATATTTAGACATGAACAAAATGGCAGTCGAAGACTGGAAGCTGTTCCAAAACATTTCTATTCGGGCTGATGCTGATTTACAACCGCCCTAATTAATATTCACTAGAAATATATTTCTACTTGTAGCTTATAGCTACAAGTACATTATTTATGGTACGACATAATAATTAAGTTGGAAAGTAACAGTCATCATTCTATAATAATTGCCATTTTTTGATAAGCAAATATACACAAACAAGTATAATTTTATATCTATAAAAATAACGGAGACGGGGTCACGGATATAATTAATGTTGCTAATGGATAAGTATGCTCTGAAATCGTATAACAGATCATCTCACGTTACGTTAAATATATTTTTCACACTTCTATTAAAAACAAGATTAAGCCATATGTTTTTCGTAAATTTAATTTGTGATCATTTTATTTTTACAATGTTAAGTTTACAAAAAATAACGTAAATCCATATGTTCTTTTATATGACTATGGTGGCAAAGAATCATACGGCCCGTCTGATGGTGAACGAGCTTACCGTAGCCTATAGACGCCTGTAACACCATGGATGTCCCGCGCGCACTGCCGACCCTTAAGAAAACTTAATAGGCCCTTAATGTTATAATAATAATAATGTTCCTGTTAAATTTGTATCGAATTAAATAAATGTTTTAATTATTTTTATTCTTTTTCGACGATCTTACATATAAAAACATTATTTTAACTCTTTCATATGCCTCTAAACGAAATTAAATAGTAATTTAAAAAAGTAAATAAATATGGACAACATGTGCAATCCTATATTCGATTATCATAGATAATTATCAAAGACATTTTGTCAACTATACCAATTCGTTAACTGGAGAGTTAATTAGAAATTTATAAAATCGAGATAGTAAAATACATGATCGCGAAACACATAACCTGCATTACTACAGATAATATCTATATAATAACAAAAAAAATATTTTTCTTAAATAATGGAATCATTAGCGTATTTAAGATTATTCTCTAGGGATGCCTGAGCCTTAAAAAGGGCATTATATATTCTCAGACATATGTTTGTGCATAATTGGAAACCCACCAAGTCCCACCTTACATACACTTATGACAGGAATATGCAGAATAATAATAGCATAGTATAAAGAGATGTATGTAATATAAAATAAAACCTAGATTGATTTTTGTAGGACTTATTTTACGTATTTTTCCTAATACAAACTGAAAGTTCTGGTTGGAAACTGGAGTAAACTGCCACTTCGCTGACTATATCAATCTCCACACGATCTTCCTGATAACCATCATGTTTTATTTTTGACGAATTCGTTACGATGAATCCAAAGATCTAACTATATCTTTACCTATTATCCCTCACTAATACTCCGCTAGTGTATACCGATAGCGCAAGCAGGATTAGCATTCCATTCCATTCCATCATCCATGTAAAAAATAACTATACGAGTACGGCATTTTTAAGTGTAATTTAGCGTCTTCAATATATTTTTGTAATCTTCTTAATATGCCTACAAAAACATAATACACGCTTTAATCATAATAAATTTATATATAGTTGTCATCTCTTCAACTTTAAACAGAACCAATTAAACTTAAACTATTACTTTTGAAACTTATATGTAACGAAATTTTAATGTTAGTATATTGTTAAATAGAGCGTAACCACTAGTTGTCATTGAATTGTATAAAAAAAGAAACATATTAAAAGTGCTGTAGGGAATAAAACTTAAGTTTTGAAAATAATTATATATATATATATATATACATATTTTAAAGATTCATTATTTATAAATAAAATAAAATAATAAGAATAATAGGTTTTAATTAATATTCCTATGGCCTGATAATTTGACGTGAATTTCAATGTATTAATTTCCAATATGTCGTACAATACTATCCAGTTAATTTGGTCTAGTGTGTACAAACAGACAAACCAAAAAAAATCTTTATGACTTATACATTTATTAAAATAGAATACTACATGTTATAAACTCTCTTAACAACAATGATAATGTTATCAATATTTTTACTGAAACCAATTATAAAAGAGAGAAAAAAATATTAAATGATAAGCCAACTACTTAGTAACAAAGTAAAAAATATTGGAAACTGGTCAATAATGGACTTGTTTACACCCTGTGTCACTAGAGGAATAATGAATCAGTGCACTTCACGTAAACTATATATTTGTATTAACAAAAATCAAAAAGTATTAACAAAATTTAGGCATACTGAAAAATCGCTGGATATTCTACGTGTCCTATATAGTAATATTTTCAAGATGGTGTTGAGACTCCTCCGGTTCTGTAGCGCCTCAGAAATATTCGCCCAAGCACGGATTGATGGTTTCCATGCCATCATTCGTAAGTAAGTCGCGTCGTGAAAAGAATGCGAGAAAAAGACAACACCATCCTTAAAATGATAGCTAAGAATATGAAACAGCTATACACCTGTGATAGGACGTTTCGTCAGGACGATGACTAAATCGCAAAATAACCATGCCCTGGTTTGTTGCCGTTCTGACCGAATGCCTCTTAGGTATATAGTTTATTAAATTATAACCTTTTTTACTAATATATTTTTAAGGCTAGTACTAACAAAATAGATCTTATTGTCTAGCATTAAATGGATTTGATTTGAAAAAAAAAGGTGTCGAAAAATATATATCAAAAAGAATATTAAAAATAATAATATAAAAATACATATCATCGTTTCATAATCATTCTGCCTTTATAATCGTAGTAAGTAACTGTTTGTAAAGATGGATGTTTGAACGTTTGGATTTTTGTTACTCAATCACACGTAAACAGCTGTAAGGATTTGAATTAAATTTGGAACATGAGTAGGTTATACTCTAACTTAACATATACAATAGACATTGTATATACTGATTTATTTATTTATGTAAGCAAAGCCGCAGGATACAGCAAATAGGCCATAATCTAATTGAACATATAAATTGCTATTTATCTTAAATTTACACAGCAAAAGTCTGTGAATACATTTGGTTCAACTACATAAATAAAAGTCTGAGATGATTATATTATGTATAATCGTTTATATCACTAGTGTAATTTATGCCCGCAACACTGCCAATTAGGAATATTTACATATTTTTTATTAGATACATATTTTTTACACAACTCGAAATAAGACACAATCTGATAGCTGAGAATCTTCCACATAATTCGAAGAATAAAGATCCCAAGTGTAATATTCAATTATAATATACATTAAAATACATAGCATATTTTTTTTATTTTTATGTCAAATTTATTACATATCATCTTAAATCAATAAACAATTTCTTAAATACTATTACTAATTATAAATAATCTCCCAACGCACCACACCGAGGCAGCGTACCCAAGATATTGGCAGCATTACCTCTTTGGATTGCTAAACTTATCTTTTGGACAAAGTAGCTACCAGCTCTCGAGTCACCAGTAACCTCGATGAGGCGCACTGCGATCGTCGAATAAAAATTCTTTGCATCTGGGCCCCACGGGCCCATCGTCTCTACAGTAAATGACAGAAAACAATAAGACCCCTCCAGATGTAAGTATTTAAGCCTTTTTGTATATGGCTAAGGACGTTATGAATTGCTAGATTTAAATTTTTATTCAAATTCCTTCAGCCGTTTGATCAATTCATATTTTTTATTGTCAAACCATTTTAACAGTACCTAGTCCAGCCATAAGTTCTGTTTCAAATGAAAATGCATTTTTTTATGAAGTAATGTAATATTACTAAAATTTATACATTTATTTATTAAAGTCTCAGCAAAAAATAAAAAATAAATCTATTCCAAATGGCCACCTTTGGTTTTCATAGAGGGTCTGGCTGTCTGGCCACGAATCTATGAATTTACGCACTGTTTCCAAGAGAAATTTCGCTACTGCTTGCTGCAAAGATTATTTAAGAGACTTAATGTCACCATATCGTTTAAAGCAGGCCATATCCTCTAAAACTGACCATTATTTGAAGGCTAAAGGGTTGAGGTCTGGACTAGATAAGGACGAGTCTTCAGCTCTTATAAGTCCGGAACGTTAGTTTCAAGCCAGCCTTGGGAAGTTCGTGCCTTGTGACCAGGTGCAAAGCCCAGCTGGAAAGTCCACGGTATATTTTTAAAAAGTGTATTGCTGAGAGGTTTCACAACACGATCCAAGACTATATCTTGATACATTTTAGCTAAAGCTTTCACTCCACACGCCCCACCAAACAAACCATCACTGACGCAGGATGATGACCACGTTGTACCTTTCCGACCACTTGAGCAGCTCCTTTAAAACTGTAAACGTACACTTTATTATTTTGCTTATTGTAGTGTTCTTCAATCGTGAAAATTTTTTTATTGGTAAAGAGGATATTTCTATGCCTTTCACCTGCGTATCGCGACAGAAGGCGTTTTGTATTTATTATTATTGAACAGAAATTAAAATATTAAGATGTTTTTATATTTTATTGTTTTAAAAATCTCTCTCTCTCTCTTTTAATGTACTCGATGTATATAAAGAAATACGTAAATTTTGCTTCATTAACTACATTAATCGTCATATATCAGAGCATTAAAACTAACAGATACTTCGTATAAACATAAATTTTATTAAAAGAGAATTTTTTGCTCATAATGGATACATATTATTATCATTATCAATGAAAATTATGATAATAATCTATGACATCTAGTGCTGAATAGAGGTACTAATTCCAATAAGATTCAAACTATGTGCGATGCTAGTGCCATCTAGTTCTGCATAATGTTACTAACTATATTTTGTACAAGAAGGAACTGCTTCCTTAGTCAGTACTAAGAAGTATTCAAACAGCTATCCAGTCATTAACAGATGGAGCTAGATGCATATGAAATTTATATAAATTATAATTAATTAAAAATTTTATGTATCTTTTTATAATAATTATTAGGAACAAACAGAAAGCGGATTCAGAGGATAATAATACCTAGGTAGAGTGTCGAAATAATAAAATGTGGCAAATAGAGTAGCTGCTATATTATTTCGAAATTCCAGAGGGAGACTTTGTACAAAAGTCGATTGCTTGGGTACCTCTGTCCCATTCATGTTTCTACCGTAAAGCAGTTGTGTTTGCATGGCTGTGTTTCGGTTTGAAGGGTGAGATATGGCGTGAATTTACAGGGCACAGAGAAATAACACCTGAGTCCTCAGGAATAGCAACGCATGGAGAGTATCATGGGCGAAACAATATGCTCTGTTATGTCCATGGTACTGCTCATGTCTATGGACGACGGTTATCACATTCGATCAAGTGGGCCGTCAGCTTGTTTGCCATTCTAAGTTGTATAAAAAAAAATACAGGGAAGAACACTACCTTCTTGAAACTAAACTTAAAAAATGCGTGTCTCCAAATCACCAAGCACCAGTAAAGGAAGATAGAAAAGAATAAAAAAGCAGATCAATTAACCCATTATTATAAATATCCTGAAATTCAACAGAATGGTTTCCAGGGGTGGATGCGGGGAGGTTGGCATAACAGTAAAAATTGCTAGCAATGGAGGTGGTAATCCGCACTAACCATCCCTCATATTTTTGTATCTTTATCTAATTTTATTCTAGTTCTTATACTATTCTAAAGGCATGGTATGTACGAGGTTTGTCCGGAAAGTACGTATAAAAGTTTTTTAAAAATTTTATTTTACAATTATTCAGGTAAATCAATTTTATCCCCTTCAAAGTACTCCCCCTGTGACATAATGCACTTGTGCCAACGCCGTTTCCACTGTGAGAAGGCTCCTTGAAAGTCCTCTGGTTGTAGGTTTCTCAGCTGCCCCGTCGTAGCTTTTTTTATCTCATTTATGTCCCCCAAATGCCGCCCCCGAAGTACCAATTTGGTTTTTGGGAACAAGAAGAAGTCACACGGGGCCAAATCCGGCGAATAGGGGGGTGTTCGGTCACCGTAATGGAATTTTTACTCAAAAACTCACGGACAACAAGAGAGGTGTGGGCAGGGGCATTGTCGTGGTGAAGAATCCAACGCCCCTCTCGCGCCAATTCTGGAGGAACTCGTGCCACACGAGCTTTGAGGCGTCTGAGCACATCGACGTAGAATTTTCCATCAACTGTCTGGCCTGAAGGGACGAATTCTTGATGGACATTCCCACGAACATCGAAAAAAACAATCAACATTGTCTTGACATTTGAGCGGGATTTTCTTGATTTTTTTGTTCGTGGTTCCCCGGATGTCTTCCACTCTTTGCTTTCACGGCCATTCTTGCCGAGTTTCGAGAGAAACTTGATTACGACACGCTGCTCTTCAACGGAAGCGGGCTCCATGCCGACGGGGTTTCGTTAAGAGGTAACTTCACAGATGGCGTGACAAGCCAGTTCGCACCGCACGGCGGTCAGACCAGAACTGAAGCATTGTTAGGGACATAAGGAAGGGGTCCTGCGCTTACCTGGCCTCCCCACTCCTCTTTCTCGCATTCCAGAACACTTTTATACGAACTTTCCGGACAGACCTCGTATACGTATTTTATAGGTAGACACTGAACAGTTATCCTCATTAAGGTCGAAAATCAATATCAATCAATTAATTCAATCTCATATACCTATACGTATTTTGAGAATTGTTGTATCCCACTTTTCAGTAAAATTTGCATTATGGTTTGTCATAATACCATAGTGTAGGGGGGAAGGGATTTTTAGTAATAAGGAGATTAATCTCCATTGCTATCAATATATCCTATCAGGTCGACCACCATGCGGTTCCCCTTGGAAACTATCGTGACTAATTTATCGTTAAATTAGTAATCACGATGGGCTAACTGACCTGCCTTTTCATCCTCACCAATCATCCCTCACTGGATCCTTCCCAGTGTATACCGATAATGCAGGTGGGGTTACCATTTCATTATCATCCAAAAAAAAATACCACAGTGTAAGGAAAAAGCAGTGACAGAACACGCTATGTACCTATAATCTATTTTATCTAAACTGTAAACGTGTTATACGACTGGTAAGAAAAAATATTTAGTTTATAATAATATTATGACGTCCATCGTACTCATAATTGTCATTATGTTAAATCGTTATATGTTAGCTATAAGGTTACCTACATATGACCTTACTTGAGTACTGATACCTGTTTATAATGTTTCTTGTACTTTTTAAATTCTTTAAAAAAACTAGATGAAGAAAAATCCAATATCATTTAAGGTACGTCTATTTATTTTTATATATACCTAACCCATAAATAAAACAAAATACCTTAATGCATATCTATAATAAATACTTTGTTGCAGATGTAGTAAGGAACTTGAATTTTATATATCTACATATACTTAGGAATACTTATATATTTTTAATCGTAGACATTTGTATATTTACCTATTATAAGTAAGTGATCATTTGAGATCTGTTTAGCTGATTGTTACTGTTAATTTGTACTAATGCTATTGAAAAATGAGGTAAGTACTATATTAGGTATATAATTGTGATAAATATATATCCATAATTTTGTATATATAAATGTTTAAGTATATTTTTATATTATTATTGTATATTTTATGTTTGGTATATATTTTATATTTTAAAAGGTTTTAAATGAATATAATACAAAAATCTTAAAATGTATTTTCTAATATAAATACTTATAATTATTAAATTATTCTTATGTATATGTAGTACCTATGATCAGATATGGAAAAAAATTCAATATTAGGTCACTATAATCATTGAACATCCTTTTTTAATCAAAAAATATATATTTATTTAATCATTATAATAAATTATAAGTAAATATAAACAATTGATACATACACTAATAAAATTATATAAGTATAAAAGTAATAAAGCTAGCTAAGTGGTTTCGCTACTTGACTATTACATGAACATGAGTTATCACTGTTTAGGCTACAACAATTGGTTTTGATATTTACAGTAAGATAGATTGTGTATTAACGGAAATAAACAATATTGTTAGTAGCTACACCAGATTTTTCTCATTCATTTATTCAACATAGACTGGTACGCCGGTCACTTCTGTTGTGGGTTTGTGGTAGATTTGGACATCTTGAAGGAAGATGTTCTCAACTCCTGTGAGCATCCATGGGAACAGGGGCCGGTCTACAGGGAAGCCCAGCGTATCGCTTGTAAGGCGGATCGTATTGTCGATAGTGCTAGTTTCTACCGTGCCTCGATGAACATCGTTGGGCGCGTGGTACTCAGAAATGTATACCATCAGTACAAATGGCATGCCACCGACGCGACCTGTAGAAATAATTAAATTTGTTGTAATTACCTGTTATAGTTTGATCGGATTTGTAACTAATATTTATCCTTCAAGAATTCAGTATTATGCAACGTCCATGAACAACCCCACTATTAAGCAACCTCCAGTCATAGTTCATGAGGAAAAGATTCATATTGCTACAGTGTCCTATAGGGAAAAATGGAAGGTACTTGTAGATGGATGCCTATTAATTGCATTGATCTCCATCTATGATCAAGTCAAAGCTTCTATAAATGGTTCTGTTTACAAGTAAGTAGATCCGATTGGCAGCCACCAATAGTAATGTTACATGGCGAAGAGGTTTTTATTAATCCTGTCGCCACTTCTTTTAATATTATTACACTTAATAATACTTAATAATAATAATCAAATACCACTATTTGGTATAAAGGATAACGTAGCCAATGTACTTAGTACAAGAACATAAGTCCTCAGGGACAACGCATTAGATATAATAACGTTTTATATAATAGTCCATGGTCCATATACAACATTTCTACTTTCAAATTCATAGTATTTAACAAAGCAATATCGTAGATTATACATATCTATAATAGTCTCTCTATCATTTGATTTGTTTCGGTACGTTCTTTAGTACAAGTCTATCTAAAGTCGAAACTGGAACATTAGTTAATAATAGAAAAAACCTGTACAATATTCGTCTGCATTCGTCTTTCTAAAACGTGTGTGTTTCGGTTTAAAGAGTATGTGAATTACATAATTCTTACAAATTAAGGCACCATGGAATTTACAATGTGTACTGTGATGCCTGTAATGATGTTTATATATTTAAACGACGATTACCACTAACTATTAGGTGGGCTGTCAACTTCTTATTTATTTAGTATTACAGCAATTATATTTCTAAGATGCAGTAATTTTGCTAGATGATAATTTATTACAATTTTAAAAATAGTTATGAAGTATTTACAATAAACTTACCTATTTAATTTATAAAATAATCTTTGCCATTCCAAGTTGTTATGCAAAAAATAAAAATTGACTAAACCAAAACAACATCATTAATTTTTTCATGCAACTTAGAATGATAAACAACCTATCAGCCCACCTGATGGAAAGTGGTAACCGTCACCTATAGACATGAGCAATACTATGAACATAACAGAATATACAGTTTCGCCCATGGTAACTCCCATGCGTTGCATTTCTGAGAACTCAGGTGTTATTCCTTTATGCCCTGTAAATTCACTACCATGTCCCACTCTTCAAACCAAAACACAGCCATGCAAACACAACTGTTTCACAGTAGAAACACGGGATAGAAGTAGCTAGCAAACGTCTTTTGTACAAAGTCTTCCTGTGGTGAAGTAAAACGTTTTATTACAAAGTATATTTTCTACCAACCTTTAGGTAAAAGAAGATGTCGAGGAGTTTTCAAAATATTTTGTTTCATGTTAAGCATATATTGTCCGTGTCCTTGGAGAGCGCTGTCAACTTTATTGAAAAGAACAGAAGCGCTATCAATCTCGTCAGTGACAAGTAAGTTGTCCGAAGAAACACGTGTGATTAAATTATCACCTTCTTTCACTGTAATACAAAAAAAGTAAAATTATAAGGAGAAGCATAGAATACAATATTCCTCGGATGTATTACAATCTATCATACTTATTAATATACCTGACTAGTTGTATGTTCAGTATTACGTTCATCACAAGGATAACTTCCGGTAACACCACTGACTACCCACTATAGTATTATTGTTATATCATAATATACCAAATATTGTGTCCCACAAAAAAGACGATTTAAATTGTGACAAAACCAATTATTTTGATCTAAAAACTAAACTACTGAACCGATTTTGATAAAATTTCTGTGAAACCGTTCTGTAAATACATAGTTTAAAATAAAAAAAAAATATTTTAAATCGATTTAAAACTAATGGAGTTATAAAGTAACAAACATAAAAAAAATACAAGCGAATTGAGTATCTCCTTCTTGCTATACTTTCGAATAAAGATCGGCGAAGTGATCTATCAAAACAGTGTGGCCAGCATTCATAACACTGCAGTAAGCTCATAGAAAACTGTATTTTATTTTATTAATAATTTTAGTGCTTTTCATTAATAGTTGTGTTTGTTGTTCAAGAATGTTATTTTCATTGATCTATCGTTTAAAATATAATGTATATTAAAATTCAGACAAATGTGAAGATAGGACTAAACTCTGTGAGTCTTGTCTTCTGTTTTATATGGAATACTATCAATCTGGCCCAACTTCGTATGGATACATAACATTTCCGAAAATAATATATAGCCTTTGTAAAATTTTTGAAATAGGAATATTTTTTTAATATATTCATTACAAGCAAACAAACAAACAATCAAATCCTTCCTCTTTATAATATTAGTATAGATATAGACAAATCTACCTTATTATTCCGGAAACCTTGGTCATGTACCTGCCTCTTTCTGTTACTTATTTTGTTATTCTGTTTGTTATTTTGTGAACAACCTAAATTCATCCTTATTGATAAATAGAATTATAGGAAATGAATATGAATAAATATAGTAACCAACGACTATTAAAAACTTATTTTACTGTAGACGGATTTTTGTGGCTTCATCACATCCATTAGTTTATACTTACATTCGTAATTGAATATATCAATCAACAAGAAGTTCTGTGTGTTAACATTCAGGGGTATTTCGTTGCCAACACTATCGTATTTGGGAGCTAGGAAGAATCTGACAGTGACGTGTTTGGCTACACCACTCTTAACATTGACTCGCACGGTGAACACTTTGTGGTTCAAACGTGTCCTCTGGACCAACACGCTCTTGGTATTAATCACGTTATTACCTGAAAATATTATTCATAATCAATAAAAACATTAATAATCAGACCTGTTGCCAAAATCGACAGCGATAACATTAATATTATTATAATCGATTTCAGATACAATAAATTCTAGATACTTATGAGCATCAATTATTTGCTTTGCTGCGTGCATAGAACTCTGTTTTTATGATAAAAGTAAATTAAGGACAAGTACATACAACCAGCAATTAAACAACTGAATGATAACAGTAAAAATGTGATATAATTTTTAAGTATCAATTATTACATATTTCAATATTTTTTTCATCTCATCTATTCACAAAACAAAATAGATCTTTTCTCTAAGAGCCTTTTGTCAAAATTTATATATAAAATTTTAGTTGTCACTTATATTATTATATTGTCTAATAACCCCCATATTCATAAAAACGTCAAACTTCTCATAAATCTGTTTCAGCTATTGAAGTGGTTTGTCCTTTTCTTTTGCACTCATTTCTCAACTTGAAAGACAGTAACAAAACACCTTAATAGTTAAAGTAGATTTGTAAAACGTTTTAGTTCTTTATGAATAATGAGTTAAATCTCTTAATTCTTTTTTCTGTAAGAAGAAAAAGAAAAATATTTGAAAACTTTTCACATCTGGAACGTTTTGATTTCCAAATTGCCCTATCGTCGTGAAAAAATACTATTTGGCTGACTGTGATACAATGGATTGTATATGATAATCTACTTACATTCAATTTCATTCAGATGAAGATGATTGGTAACATTGAAATTAGTATACTCGAAGTATGTTAGTAGTTTGTCTACTTCGACTTTTTCGATCTTAACTGACGGTACTGATAATTCTTTTGTAGTGTAATGTGGGAGATGTTCATGCCATAAATTGAACAGCTTAAGAACTCGTTTCATGATCATGTAATATGCTGGATCTCGGAGAGCGGTTTGGTACTGTTCCAATACAGAAGGAACGACCAAGGGTATACTGAAAGAAAAATAAGCTGCATTACCAAATTATAATCAATTATTCTTAGTATTACATATTATATTAACTTAATTATATATAATATCGAGTGTAGTTACTAACGAAGAAGTTTAAGACCCATTTGATAGAAAGGCGTGATTCCTACATATTTATATCAGAATAAACTGTATCTATTAGAGAGCTAAAGAGTCTTGTATAATTGCAATGACTATCTCACCTTTAAGACTGTATTTTACTTTGTAAGATATGATATAAGATTTTATAAAGTAATTCAAAATTCAAGAAAGGTAGATTGTATAAAATTTTTAACTTACGTACTTATATGTCTACACTAAAACGTATACACCTAATTATAATGATCTCAACTTACCCGTTAAAAGCAACAGATTCATGAACAAGAGAATTGCCGAGAACCTTCTTCCAAATGCTGATGAAGTCTTTATAGTATTGAACATTAGGAGAATCAACGTTAGCTTCAATAAGACGCCCGAGAACATCAATCGAGTCCGGACTGTTGATGCTGACATGTTCACCAGTGTTCTATAATCAATGATAATCAAGAATAATACTTGAATATTTATAGACTCGTATATTTAATATTTATAAAGTATATACTTTCAATGATTATTGAGACATTATGAACCTATAACATTGTTTGAAATGGGGTAGGTACTCTTTATTAATTTTATAAATATTAACCAGTTTAATATATTTAAAGTCTATATAACATGTGATATCTCACTCTAATTCATCTATTAGATATTCCTAAATCTCATTTTTTTTAAATTAATTTTTTTTTAATTTATTATTTGATTCATACCCATACTTTTGATGTTGTCATTATCTATACTTACTGTAATATAGAAGCCCTGGTCGATCATGTCACGAATGCGGTTTTCATAAACTTCGATTTCTTCTATAGCTTCAGCATGCCAAGTTTGATGATTGAGTACCAAGTGGTTAGGTCTCACTGGGTATGGAATTCCATTGTGATACAATAACCCAGATACATATCCTTCCTCTACTTCATTCAAACCTAATTCTGGTATCTCACCAAGACCAACAGACAAGCGTTCCATATAATAGCGAGCCAAAAGTTGTTTGTTCCAGAAGAAGAAAAGCTCACCTCGTTTTTCTTTGATCGCACAAGCATCACTTCGCAGCCAGATTGGATACGCAAGTTTAATATTATAATATAGTGCGTTTAAAGTTACATCATGAGTGAAATAACTAACTGGCATTGACTCTGTATTGCAGTAATACGGCCAAGCAGTTTCATTATGTCTTATAACAACATTGTTCTCCCAAACATATGTTGATGGGTAATGTTCTAACATTCGTTGACCATGAGTAGTTATTCTTTGGGCTGTCGTCATAATCTCACCATTATGGAAATATGAAGGGAAAACATCATAAATTGGTGGGATTCTAATGTCCTGAGTATCAGATCGGTGGAGAATTACAACGCTAAGTACATTTACAAAGAGATTTTCATTAACGTGCTGTCTTAAGAATACAGCTGTTTTATAAAAGGTGTCATATGTCTTGGCTGAATAAAGTAAACTGTAATATACCGAAATTTCAAATCTATGGACAGATTCTAAAACGGTAAACGGCACACCTCTAGGTACTTGGTAATTATTATGAAGCATCTGGATAGTAAGATGGACGGCGGTAGCATTCTGTAAGGAAACGTATAAAGGTACAGATTATTAATGATAACTTACTAATATATATAAATATTAATAACGTAACATTCTTAAGCAGATAGCATTGAATGTGTAAATGAATTTGATGTATTATTGATTAGTATTATTTTTCTCCTTTTATTCTTCTCCTTCAGTCTTATTATTCTTCTTTTCTATTAGTAGATATAAATTAAACCCAGAGTATTTTTTATTGAAATCGGTATATACTGAATTAAAGACCTTATTCTATTTTAACACAAAGATAAAATAAGACTATTTATAGAGTGTTTCGTAACTGGCAAAAATATAACTTAATGTAAATCTTCATATTTCTACAAGAATAAATTAAGGAACAACGTTGCATTATAATAATCAAATTGACCTAAATATAATGCAAATAGATACAAATTATTTACTTCCTTCAATACATTGTGCTTAATAATCAATTGAATAAAAATCATAAAGAAAAGAAATCTCGACTAGTTTCTAGATCAATTCGTGTTCCTTAGTCATGAGTAGTAAATCGGTAGTTATTACATAAAAATATAATGTGCGTTTACGAAATTTTTAACATGAAAAATAAGATATTGAATATCCTCACTTCGTAAAGGCCGATATTCTTTTCTAAATCCCAAGATGCAGCTATTTCTTGTTGTTCCTTGATGTGGATCGGCTCGTGAGGGTGGAAAAATAAAGTCAGAAGCTTATACTGACGATCCAATACAGTCTGATCCACTGAAATAATTCCAATTATTATTTATATATTAATAAATCAGGTACTATAAATGTTGTTGCTGCACTCTTTTTATGGTCTAAAAATATGTACCAATACCTACGAACTACCTTGACATAAACAAAATACGAGTAGAATCTGGACTCACAGATTAATTATGTTCAAATATCTGCATTGTTATAGTTCTCTAATAAAATAACTTATGGAATTTCATTACCCGACTTTGACAAGTTTCTAAGGAATAGAGTGAACTCTGGTAAAATAGCGCTCAAGATGTCCAATGCTTAAATTGTTTACAAACTATCCAATTTCAACTGGGTTTTTGATTGGTAAATTTCTTCCAATCCTTATTAGTTAAATTTAATTTAATACCGAATTCTCGCTTACATCATAATTATCTATCTAGATTATTTTTTTTATTTCCGAAAGAGATTGCTTTACTACGTATTAAAAATTGTATTTTCTACAAACTTAAAAAAACGGAGGTTCTTATAATAATTATGTTGCATTTTTTTATTATATTTGTTACCTTTTACCTTTGTTAGTTTTAAACCGATTTGGAAAACTCTATTTTTATCTGAAAGAATATACTTACAGATTGGTCAAAAACAGTTCAGTAGCTTAGTTTTTAAATCAAACAATTATATTTGCCGCAACTAAAGACTGTTTTGTTGTGTGTCACACAATTTTAATTATTTATTCATTAAATAAGATTATAGTAGATTATTATCTATAGATTAACTACCAGAATCATCTATGATTTCATCATGTGAAAAGAAAGAAAGAAATAATTTTTATTCACGTAAACTTACTTTTTTCAAAAACTTTCATTATACGAGTATAATTTATGTAAATACAAACTACAAGATATTATTGGCATACAAATAGTATTAGAACAAATTAATAAAATAAATTAATTGCAATTGCAGGACGTAGGAAGAATATGTTGCAGGATTTTATATAATAAAATTACTAGCAGTTTTATTCTAATAAAATAAAAAAATATCACTCTCATCATACTAGTTTTCTTTTACTAGTTTTCTAATAATTGTTTTTCTTTTCTCTAAGTATACTTTTTTAGACACATTAATGTGTCTAATATATAGCAAATAAATTACTTAGCTTTGTTCTTACCAGTTCTCTGCAATTTTTTGACGGGATCCGAGATCCCGCCACCCACCAACAAGGCCAATACACACAAAACCAATCGACCCATCACTGCCAATGCACAAAGGAGCTAGGAACTCTCTATTTATACGTATCACCTTTATGATAATTTTGTTTTCAATATATTTTATCTTAGTATAGGTCAGCATCCAAAATGTTATCAGAAACAGCAATAATTTCTCCTCATCGATAGCCAATTAAAACTATGATACAATGTTCGTGTCATTTTCCTAATGAGTACAGTTAACAAATTTAATTGTAAATAAAAAATTGACCTTAAAATTAATATAACATTTTAGAAAATCGTATTTATTTTTTATATAGGTATTTATTAATATATTTATTAGGTAAATAAAAGATATTTTTTTGTTCGTAATATAAATTTTGTTCTTTAACCAATATTAAGAATATAAAATGACCGAAACTAATTAATTTAGCAATTTCTATTTAAAGCAATTCATTATTATTAAATTTGCGCGCTGACTATAAATAGAGTAGAATTTATTATACTTTGAAGATATAAATCGTGTGATATAAGCATCTTTAATTAACTAGTCTGGCCATAAATACTATTACATAAAAACTTTTTTCTACTTTTTAATTTATTTCGAATTTGGGACACGTTTATTATTTTAAAAACTTCTCTCGATTTCGCGCCATTTCACATATTTTTTCGTATTCATTATCAAATTACAATATGAAATGGGGTATTAAAGAAAATAGGATTGCAGTGATCGCCTTGCAGAAAATGGGTATGGAATCGTCAATCATATTCCAGACACTTCAAAAGCTTGGTATCAGCCGTATGTTCGTATATCGTACTATCAACAGATTCAACAACACTTCCTCTGTCGAAGACCAGAAAAGGTCGGGGCAACCGCGTGCTGTTAGAACTACAAAAGTTGTTAATGCCGTTAAAGCCAGAATTCGTCGAAACTTCTAACGTCCCCTAATGCTTCCTAATGGAAGCAAAATATCTTATCGCAAGAAATGAAGATTCCCCTTAGGACTCTTTTGCGAATTATAAAACAAGACCTGAAGCTGACCTTAGATTCGTGGCTAGACAGGTTAAAGGCCTGTATAAAAGCCAAAGGTGGTCATTTCATTTATTACAGAACTTATAGCTGGACTAGGTATATTCAAAGGTCTTCATACATTATTTAAAATGATTATGTAAAAAAAAAAATATCTAAATATAATCCGCAGAAGTTAAAAAGAAGACACAGATGAAAGATTTCACTACTTAAGTACAATGAGAACTAATGCTCTTAGTTAAATCCAAGATTGTTTTTTATTTATCATAACTAATACTGTTTTAAACCAGGTAATTATTGTGATTATTTATTTTTAAATTAACTACTAAGAAAACTGTAGCTGTAGAAAAATAAAGAATTGTAATAAAACCTATTTCGTATGCATTAAAAGCCTATTAAGTATGCATGTTTTCAATCGGCACATTTAACGCTACGCCGTGTCTATTCTTATTAGCTGAGCTACCACTTCACTAAATACCCGCCGCAATTTTTTTTTTCAATAAATAATATATTACTATTACTGGATACTTGACTAATTTGCATATTAATAAACTGCCATATGTCTAATTATAAATATTTTTTTAGCTATTTAAAGTCGTTTTGAAAATGCGTAATAAATTAAACAGATTAATTAAGAAAAAAAAGCATTCAAAATTCTCACTGGCAAAAAATAATAAGAGAAGGGATTTTAAAAAAATACTGTTATTTTTTTAACTAACCGTACAATTGTTATCAATACAAGAATTAAGTTAATACAAATGTATTGACTTTGACATACGTAAAGAGCGTAGACCTGTATTCACTTTTGTTTTCTCAATTATTTACAACTCTGATTCGCACACAATGGGATCGATTCAAAAGTATCACTTCCCTAAACTAAAAATTTCAATTGGATATAACAGCAAAATCTTTCCTCTAAAAACCAGTACCAGTATGAAATAAATTAAATAGATTTAAGTTAAAATTACTACGAGTACAAATGTAGAATATGATGGTCCATAAAACAGTAAATTCGAGAAAATATTAAAATGAAATACTATTATATTAGATTAGAAGAAACGTTTAGAGAAATAGCACTGCAGAATCGGCCCCAATGTGCCTATACAAAGATTTTTTTAACAACTAAACCTATTAGAATGTGCGTTTCGTATTTGAATAATATTTTTATAATAGTTTTTACAAAAACTTCTACGTGAAAAGAAAGGTATTCTTTCAAAGCAGTTTATTATAATAAAGGCATAATATCATAATAAAGACAGACAAGATATGTAGTTATCATAATTGAAATTATAAATTTTTAAAGTTTTTGTTTAATGTTTCTATCAACTTATTTTTTTAATAAATTTATTAAAATAGAATTGAGATAAAGCTAACAACGTAGTTGGATTACAAGATTACAACCACAGAAAGGCGTAAACAAGTAAGAATTAATTGTCCACTTTATATTATTTAAATTGTAGTTTGTGTACAATAAAGCTACGATGTCTATTCAAGTAAATAAATAGGGTTCAAAATCCATCTCAGTGCAAAAAGGTGTAAAACAGTGTGATGTCATATCCCCAAAACTCTTCACAGCTGTATTGGAAGCAGCTGTAAAGAGTTTTGGCTATGACATGATGTTTTCAAATTCCTAGGCTAGAAAGGATATGGCGTAAACATCAATGACGAATACATCACTCACATTTGATTTGCAGATGATATACATAGTTATCATGGTGGAATCCCTGGAGGACTTCAATACTATGCTCAATGACCTCAATAGTGCTTTTTAACAAGTAGGTCTTAAGATCAACATGGATAAAACTAAAATAATGTCTAACGTCCACGTCACACCTATACCAGTCATGACTGAGAACACTACGCTCGAAGTTGTCGACGAGTATGTATACCTGGAACAACTTTTCCGACTATGTAAGTCCATCTTCGACGTAACGTTGGTTGGTCAACCGACGCAACCAACTCGGCTGGACAGCCTTCGGGAAACTACGCCACACATTCTCTTCTAGAATACTTCAAAGTTTGAAGACGAAGTTCTTTAACCACTGCATGTTGCCAGTGATGACTTATGAAACCAAAACATGGTCCTATATGGTTGCTCGTATGCAATAGTTTCAAATTACTCAGCAAGCTATGGATAGGGCTATACTCACAGTTTCTTTGCGTGACAAAATCCGAAACGAGGATATCCGCAAAAGATCCAAAGTTACCGACATCGCCCTAAATAATAAAGCAAGCTAAAATGCCAATGGACTGGTCACATAGCTCGAAGAACCGACAACCGATGGGGAAGAAGGCATTTTGAATGGCGCCCCCGTTTGGGCAAAGGCAATGTAAGACGACCCTCACTATTTTTAAAATTGGCTTAGTAGTTTTTTTAATTTATCCATTACAAACCAACATACAAGCAATCGAATCTTGCCTCTTTATAATATTACTATGAATATATATCAGATAAAAAATATTAAAGTTTTAGAATGTTCGGTAGGTATATCTAGTTTATAATTATAGAGCAATGTTCTCTATATATCGATTTCCTACAAAACAATCATATTATAAATTATTTTGCTTTATTGAAAACTGGATTTTACCCGCAATTTCATCGCGTGACAGGAATATATTTACTAACTAGCATAAAAAGTAGTCTATTTCACTCCCCATCCCATATAGTACATGTATACCAAATTTCTTAGTGATTGGTTTAACCATTAAAACGCTATAATGTAACAAACAAACAATCTCACTTTCATTTGTAATATTAATAAAGAATCCTATTTATTCGTCTTGTACGTAGCTATTAAACTATTGACAAATTAGTTAATTATAAACATTTTTTTCCTCTTAATTCCTCGTCAACCAATGACTTATCTATTGAACATAAGCATACCTAACATTGATATGAATAGATAGGACCAGCTATAATATGTCCGTTCATTAGTATAAATGGTTCAGCCACACGGCCAATTTATTAATCGAGACTCATATTAAAAATTGGTAGGAAAGGTACGATGTCTGTGACATGAGCCAATATATCACTTCAGTTTGTGGCGCGCCGGCCCGCCGCATCCTAAGTTTTGACGCATGAGTAATTTATTGGCCAAAAAAATAAATTACCGGATTGCCCACACATTTGTTGTGCTCAAGGTGGTTGATTCGGGTGCTCGCGCAAAAAATGATCGACGCCCGAGGCTTATTATCTCGCTACTTACACTAAAACAGCCAAGGTAACCGGTAAAACACTGTGTCCCAGAAAAAATCTCTGACAGGGACAAACTCTACTTCAACGGTCCCTTAATTTGTTATTTTTCTTCTATACCTGATCTCACAATTACGTCAATAGTCTTATCCTCGACCTATAATATCTTGTTGTATGATTATCTAGCTAACCAACTTTAAATGTTTTCGCCTATTGAAATTCAAATATTTTCCCTAAATGTTATCATACTGTGACCTAAAACTAAATTAAAACTATAATTAACTATATATAAACCTAATATGGTAATAATTTGCCATCTGCGCCTCATTACAATAAATAAATAAATCAATAATGAACATTTTTGGCAAATGCTAGTATAACTTGTCAATGCTCTTCTCAAATACTTTGGAAATATCTATCATTTATATTTAAAGATTATATTCTATAAACATACAGGTACCAAATATATGACAAAATTATCAGGAGACATACGTACTGGCCGTGTGGTCCCGTTATACAGTAGGCACCTCTTCCTTTTGTGGGTGCAATAAGAGGAGACTAAAGGAACTTAATGTAGAGGGATAGTCCCTCTTAAAACATCTCTAAAAGCCTAACTGTGGTTGCCAACCCGCCTGCCAAACGTGACAACTACTGGAAAAAGTTCCCTTATAAAGAAGACAGTTCTGCAGTGGACAGCTTACGACTGGAATTAAAATACGTTATTCTATGTGTTAATAAATCCTATCTGTTAAAAAAAATAACTAAATCAGTTTAAAATTGGCAAAAATAACGTTTAATATACACACACAATATATACACAATAATATAGCTTAGATTTGAGAACCTTTTGAATTTTTTTAATAAATTATTCTCGCCTATGGACCTAAATAATATTACATTAGATTCTCTGTGTTAATACGACGTTTAAACTAGAAATTCTAGTTTTAAGGCACATGTGGTGGACCGGTATGCAAACTTCGTAGTGCTCAGCATTGTTCACATAGATTAAGAACAGTACAGGCATGCTCTTTCTACGACAGTCGAGGTATTTTATATACACAAGTATTTTGTAATTATGTTAGTACAAAATATTGAAGTGTTTTTTTTTTTTTTATCACTTCCCATTTATTCAATCAACTCTATTTCTCAACGTCATTTATTTATTGATATAACAGTTTTTTTTTTACAACACAGGGGACAAACGAGCATGCGGCTCACCTGATGGAAAGTGATTACCGCCGCCTTTATCATCCACAACACCCGCGGCATAGCAGGCCGGCCTTTTAAAAAGGAATATACTCTTTTCTTGAAGGTTATGGTGTCGTATCGGTTCGGAAATACTGCTGCTGAAAGTTGATTCCAAAGAATGGATGTGCGTGGAAGAAAATGCTTTGAAAAACGCACGGTAGAAGACCGCCATTCGTCCAGATGATTGGGATGAAACTTTAGTTTGTAGCGGGTTGTATAATAAAATAGTTATATAACAGCTATAAACTGTCTACTGCTGAATATACGTTTCCTCCAAAAGGGAGCTATGCGAGAAGTTGCCATGCTTTGCTGGCAGTTTGGCATTGGCCGTTAAGCTTTGGTGATGAAACACCACAAGAAATGAAACACCTACGGGAAAGGAAGGGGTAGCCCATTCTATGCCAGCACCACACGGCAAATTACTTATTTATTATATGAATAAATAAATGTATTCATATACTATATTATTAATATATCAATGACACGAAATTTAATTTACAATAACATGTGCATTTTAAGTACATCATGTACGTGTATTTTGTAACTTTTTAAATATTTCAAAAAAATTACTGAATATATATATATATATATGTATATATATATATATAGCCCATTATATAGGTTACAAAGATACAAATATAGACAAAAACGTTCTTTGTAATGTCCGTGATACCTTTTATGTTTATAGATCACAATTAACATTTGGCATGAGATGAGCTGTCCTGTTTACCATTTCAAGACGAGTAAAAATACAACGAAGATTGTAGTATCTGTTATAATAAAGACAACATGCACATACACAAAAAATATGATAATAAACCAAAGATACTCGCAGCACTCATGTGTTGCATTCTTATGATAATTATTATGAGTCACAAGAAACAAGAATTTAATTTATATTAAATCTAATGTAACTTAATGCCTTTCAAACTGGAACACAACTATGCAAGTTCTGGAAGGTAAAAATAAGTAATATGATACTATGTGATTTTTTTTTTTTTAATTAGAGAGACAGTGATGGAAATAACTTTACGTAAAGTTTCCCCTTGTTGTACATTATAACAAGAACTACGAGTATATCATGACAAAATTAATATTATGAACCATACGGAACATATGCCATTTTTTTAATCAATAATTATTAAACATTATTATATCAGTCATTAGCTGTCCATCGCTGAACATAAGCCTTCCCCTTAAGAAGAGTTTGCCAATAGTTACCACACTTGGCTAGCGAGTTGGCAACCGCAATTAACTTTTGATAATGTTTTAAAAGAGACGCTGCTGCCCATCTCTCGACCATTAAATTCTTTTAGTCGCCTCTTACGGCACTCACTGGAAAGGAAGAAATGGTCCATGGTGTATCCCACAAAAAACCGATTTCAATTGTAACAAATCCGGTTATTTTGGGCTAAAAATTAAACTACTGAACCGATTTTCATAAAATTTCTATGAGGCCATTCTGTAAGTATATTCTTTCGGATAAAAACATGCAAATCAGTTTAGAATTGACAGAGATATAAGAAATAATCTAAAAGAAAATCAGAAAATATCAAAATCTCTACAGAATTGATGATATAGTAGGGAAATAAGAACGTTAAATTTTTTTCATTCGCTTGAAAATATTGAGTGTCGCTCAATAATGTTATTGGAACATGCACATAGGAAAAAAGTGTATCTTTTGTAAGATAAATTCATATAAATAATATTAGCAGAAGGAGACTTTGTAACTGAGTAGTGTACATGGGTAAGGGTACCTCTGTCCCATCCGTGTTTCTACTATTTTTTTTAATTGTTACGGAGACATACGAGCAGACGATCCACCTAATGGAAAGTGGCTACCGTCGCGCATGCGACCTGCAACAAGAAATGAGTTGCTTGTGCATTGCCTTTTAAATGATCAAAAAACGTACCTACAGTTTTTGAAAGTATGAAGTACTAAGTTAAGGTAAGTTGCTTGTTGTTGCTTGCATGGTTATGTTTCTTAGAAGAGTCCTACTCTTTTGTCTATTCTTTTATAGCAGTGAAATTACAAGGTACAGAGGCGTGATTTCGTAATCTTCAGGAATGGCCACGCATGGGAAATACCATGGGCATAATATATATTCAGTAACATATAATGCATAATGCAGTTCATGTCTATAAGCGACGTTTACTAAATTTCATCAAGAGAGGTATTAATTTATTTGTCGTCCAAATAAACTTCAAAAATATGAAAAAAATTATAATAAACATATAAAGGTAAGAAATTAATCAGATGGAAACAGAAACTTATTTCCGTTTGACAAATTTCCTAGTAATTTGTAGTTAAAATACTATTATATATTTTATACTTCTCTGGGCTGTATTCCTTTCATAATAACTACAAATCCCAATAACGAGGTATAAGGTCGTTTAATATTCATATATTTGTTTTCAACGGCGTCTGACACTTTGCCGATGGCTGTGTATTAATTATAAAATCCATGAGCACGCATACATTGAACTCTGCGCACTGTATTAATTGTACCTATTTTAATGTTTTTGTTAATTATTCTGGAACCTATAACAAATACATATTTATATATTTATATACATCTTATTACGAAATGACTGGACCTAGCTACATATTTACATAGCAGTTTTTTTTTTTATTTATTATCAATAAAAATACAAGTTACAGAATTTATGTTACATTAGCATTCAGAAACCACGTAGGTTTATATTAATACTAAATACATTAAAATTATTTAAATTGTATTAAAACCATGCAAGAAGTATCGTTTTAATTTATACTTGACCAATGCTTTTTGCCAATGATACCGAAACATGGTCCTACACAGTTATCCATATACAAAAACTTCAAGTTACTCAACGACTTATGCAAAAGACTGTACTCAAAATTTCTTTGCGTTATAGAATCCGAAATGAGGATATCGTCAAAGAATAAGCAAGCTGAAGTGACAAGGAGTTAGTCACATAATACGAAAAACCGACAACCGATGGGGAAGACAAGTTCTTGAGTGGTGACTTCGTACGGGCAAATGCATTGTAGCACAAACCTCCACTAGATGGAGAGACCACCTAAAATACATTGCAGAGAGTCAGTGAATACTGGTAACTAAGGATTATTCCTTATAACAGTTTATAGAGGAGGCCTATGTTCAGCAATGGACAATTTTTTTTATGTAACCGAAAATAGCAAGCAAGCAAACGGACTACCCGGTGAAAAGGGGCAACCGACTCTTCAAGTAATCAAACTCAATACATGACCATGATACCGTGTTGCCCGAAGAAGACCTTTCAAACAGAAACACAGTCATAGAAGCTATCTATCTATATAAGAGTAGCTTTCCGTCCTAAATTCTAAGCGTATGCCAAATTTCGTCACAGTTAATGCTCATATAGCTAATAAAATAACTAGTGGAATCAAATTCTCTTTTATATTTATAATACTCGTATTAATAAAGATAATAAATAGATCATCAATATCGTAACCACTGTCTGTAAACATCTGTGAACAATAGTCCCCGACATTGATACTTTGTATAAAAAATATTATTCTAAAAATAAATTAATTCTAAGAGATCCACTTCAATGTCAACTAAAACATCTTCAACTCGAGCACTTTGGAACAATACAGTATAATCCCTCAAAGAAAGTGGGATCAATAAACAAATACTCCTCAAAATATTTTGTCAATTTTATGTCACAAGAGGTGGTCTTGTGTTGCTGTGACACACTGCATATTGTTCGTTCTTTTACACTTTCTTTTTCAATAACATCGAGGGTGGTTATTTTGAAATTGGTATGTCAACATGACGCTTTGACAGCAGATTATCAGTTTATCCTATTAAGGGTAAATGTTGTTTTCTAAAATCACATCAATGCCCATTCAATAGTGATATATTTTGAAGGGTTATTTTAAGATATCGTAGGCCCTATCTAACTTGATACTAAACAATGGTATATTTTTATCATTTATATAATACTAGCTTTTCGCCCGCTACTTCATTCACACGGATTTCAGAAGTAGGTAAACCAATAAAATAGACTACTTCTAGATGGCGTATCAAGATGAAACATACACTAGATTTTAATTAAGATAAACCTTCAAAAACACAAGTATGAAAACTGTATTTAATTTAGTATAGAAGTTTTTATATGAAACAAAAATATATACTTTTGTCTAAATTTCAAAAAAGTATTGTTTTAGTATATGTCGGTCTAATTCAATTTTTCCCCTTATTCAATTTTTTTCTTAAATATCTCCCATATACAAACATTGTCTAATTATAATTTTATTATATTAGTAAAAGGAAATAAAACGTAAAATGGTGTAAATAAACATGAATCATGTTTTTTTTTAAATTTTTCAATGCAATTGTAGCGGGCGAGGGTTAATTAAAGTTACCAAACCATATACCCCATAAATGTTCCTATTTAACTACTGGGTACGTGTATTGTCATATAATAGGAGGATATAATCCTATTATTACTATTGTGATTAAGCGGCTTGGTATCGTTTTATTTGGTTGTTAAATTTTTCTTGTCCTAGTATAGTTATCCCCTTTCTGACTAGTAAGGATTCTTAATTCTTATTTTTACTATATCCTACATAATAATAATATATAATAGAATACATAGTAAAATAGCTCTATAAAATTAAATTACGTTTAAATAAGTAGTTAGTACTGCGTTTAAGCACAATTTAGTTTTTTTTTTTTTTTGTATTTTAAAAAGAAAGCAAGTATACCGGTTTTAAAGTAAATTGAATAAAACTCATTCAGTGCTAGATTAATTGTACTTAAAAGAAATAAACTTACAGTAAATTAAAATATATAATGAAAACTTACGTCATGAATACTTTGATAAGCATATAGATTAGGTTAATAGTTATATTGAACTTAAGAAATAAAAAACTATTTTAATACTAATCAATAAAATGACTTTATGTATTGATAAAATGAGCATTGAACCCTAAATTGCATGCATTTGCACAATAAAAATAATATAGTTGATAACAATATCGGTATTATATATAGTTGTTAATATAAACAAAGCATATAGAAGGTATAACCTATTGGACGGTAGGTTACGACGACCTACAGCCAGCGAAGTTAGGTATTAATTATGGAAGTCTCCAGAGTTCATTGTTAAAGATACAGCATATATGAATAATACTTCAGATAAAATGAACAAATTTAAGATTTATAAACATAACTGTATTTCATTGTATTACAAATTATATCAACATTGACACGTGATGTCACCATATGATACACTGTGTCTGAAATTCCGACTTTATAAGGTGCGTTTAAGATAGATAAACACGTATACTTACTTATCCAGATAAGAATTAAAGTAATATTTAATATGATGTACGTTGACTACTGAAACTAAATATATAAAATTGTGC